GTACATGTTCACCCCTCAGTCCCCCTCATCTTGTACATGTTCACCCCTCAGTCCCCCTCATAATGTACATGTATACCCATCAGTCCCCATCATCTTGTACATGTTCACCCCTCAGTCCCCCTCATCATATACATGTCCACCCCTCAGTCCCCCTTATCAAGTACATGTACACCCCTCAGTCCCCATCATCGAGTACATGTATATAGACCCCTTAGTTCTCCTTGTCATTTACATGTATATCCTCAGATACTCAGCATCGTTCCCCTCATCAAGTACCTGTTTACCCCACAATCCCCCTCATCATGTACATGGTCACCCCTCAGTCCCCCTCTTCAAGTACATGTTCACCCGTCAGTTCCCCTCATCAAGTACATGTTCACCCCTCAGTCCCCCTCATCGAGTACATGTATATATACCCCTTAGTTCTCCATGTCATTTACATGTATATCCTCAGATACTCAGCATCACATCTTTGAAAACCATTATGTATCTTTCTTGTTTTTGTTTCCATATTAAGACGAGGAATTATGCACAAGTTTAATCACTTTATCAACACTTTCTCTCTATATGTCATCATTCTTGTACTTACCTGTTATTTACAAACCTCTGTGTTACAGGTGAGGAGATCACCTTTATGAGCCTGCTGGACACCTTGATTCTGACTGAGGATGCTGTGGTTAATGTTTATGTTGGGACGAGGAAGTATGCCTTCTCTGCTGATGTCAAGCTTGTACTCCATGAATGTTTTGATCAATGTAAGTTATGCAAAAGTGCATTATGGATATCATTTAAATATTGTTATTTCAAAATCACTGTACTTTGTTACAGTTTTTCATACATATGGGCTGTCATGTACATATTCCATATATCGGATATTTTATCATCATAATTTAAATCGTGTGGCATATTTTATTAAATTTGAAAATTACGAGGGTGATTTCCTTATCCTACACCCTTGGGCATGAAAGAGTATTTTTCTCTCATTCCAATTACCAGAATAAGCTCAGAAAGCATGGAAATGCGTTTGAACTAGCTACCATTCTGAAGATGTTAATTTTTCCCCGGAGCCTTTTAGATGAAAACGTATCATGCAGCCATATTTAGCGTACCCCATACTTGCAAGCAATGTTTGCGCAGAAAAATTAATCTCATCCTTCTAATATGTACGGTAAATATATCGTAAAAGGTTTTAAATTCATCACGTCGTCTTTTCCACATTGCGGCAATTGAATTTAGACGTCAGATCATTGTTCAGCCATTGCCATGTCACGTCACGTGATATGGGGTGTAAGATAGAAATTTATTACACCCCTTTCTTACCCTGGACAGCTCTTTCTTACACAAACGGAAATGAAAGAAATTAGTATATTTACTGTCCAATGCTTGCATTGTGTAACAGTGTTTTAATTAAAAACATACTGTATGTAGTTATGTTGATATTTACACGTAGAAAACTTACTGTCTGTTCCACTAGTCTTTTAGACAAACCATTTTTGCTACTGCTATATGTTTAATAGAAAATCACACATCATACAACATTGTACTGCAGTAAATGTGCAGACACCCTTTTTACATTGGATTGGAATGGTTTTGTCTATTCACGAACAACAAAGTACTATTTGAAGAATGTAGGGGAGGATTTTTTTCCAGATGCATGTTTATTAGATATGTACATCATGTATATTTGCATTTATATTGGGAAATTGATCAAATGCCTCATAAACTTGTGAAATCCTGTTGAATATTGATATCAAAACAGTAGTAAGAAGTGTATTGTCAATGTAAGTAGTCATTTACCAGTGACCAAGTACATGTAGCTCATTGATCTTCGTGCTCACCTAGAACTTGCTGTGCCAGGTTCAAAACCCAAACCTTTATGTTGTGCATTTTTCTGTCCTCGTGCATACTCATGTCTCTCATGTATTGATATATTTAACATTGATTTTTTTTTCTTTTTGAAAATTCCAGACCAGAGAGAACCAACAATGGCAGAATTTGATGAGGAATGGAATCGCATCAAAGGTACTGGCATAGGTAATACTCTGAGCATTACAATATCAATACAGAGAGTCTATGTGTTATAGTGTCATAGGAAGGAAGTAGTGAAAAGTATAGGTGCCATTGCTGGGGCTTGATCCTACACTCCCAGACTTAATAGTCAGACACTCTAAGGGAAATTCCGTTCATTGTTTTTTTTATTTTAATTTTAATTTTAAAACGATTACATGAAAAGTCTAAGCCTATATCAGTTCCCTCCTTTTGAGGGATAGAATGCATTCGTTTGTAATATATTAGTAAAATGAAAAGTTATACACCAGAGAAGTTTTACACACAAATATAAATATATAGGGGAAATAACTCTGAGAGTGTAGACTAGCATGTCGTTACTGGTCTGTGGTTGTAGACGTTTCAAGTCAGTAAGAATATGAGATGATTTGGTTTATGAAGATTTAACATGTACAGTAGAATGTATTGGTGAAAAGTTATGTTTCTGATATCTATGTCATGATTAAGATGTAATGTTGACATTGTGACACCTGGTCATGGTCACTGCAATGTTGTCGATAGACATTTTATAAACATCAATAACAATATGATCAACTTCGAATTCATTATTACAGTAATTGGATATGGTCATTATATTCTATAGCACAGTGTCATGTGTTTGGATCTACAACCGAGATGCTACTTTTTTTGCTGGATTAGCCATGAAACATGACAATGTATCTTCCTAGGATTGTGATTTGTTTTATATTTATTTGTTTTAATATTCCAGAACATTTGATCAACCTTGTGAACTTGGAGAGAACAAGGGCTGAACAGGCAGATGTCAGGGCTGACAGGGCACGTGTGGAGAAACTTGAGGCCATGAGGCAGACTAACACTGCCATGGAGGACAGGAACGATGCTCAGCAGGTTATGAATGCTGCCATTGAGGAAATAATACAGGCACAAAATAGGGAAGGTGTTCTAGTGGACAGGAGTGAGAGAGCAGAGGAGGAGAAGAGGAGAGCAGAGGAGGAGAAGAGGAGAGCAGAGGAGGAGATTGTAGTGAGAAAGAAAAACGAGCAACTGTTAGAGGAGGAGAAGAGGAGAGCAGAGGAGGAGAAGAGGAGAGCAGAGGAGGAGAATGTAGTGAGAAGGAAAAGGGAGCAGCTGTTAGAGGAGGAGTTAGCATGTGAAAAGATGAGAAAGAAAATTAGAGCAGAGCTATATGAACAGGAAAAGAGGAAATTTGAAGAAGAAAAAGCTATGATGGCAGCACAGTTTGAGGAGGAGAGGAGAACTCTTTTGTTACGGATACAACAAATATCAGGATGTGCACAAGCGTGATCAGTGTGGAATGTGTGTTTGTATGTTTAGTGGTCTGAATTTGGGTGTATGCATGGGTGTGTTCAAATTCAAAAAGACGGTATGCTACATATACATGTAGTAGGTTTTGTGTACATGTGACAGACACTACAGTAAGATTTGAGTCCAGGGTAAGTAACTGTGTACAGGCTGCAGTCACACCAGCACTTGGAGTCTACGTCAAGCTGAGTTTTAGACATACCTACTGTATAAAGGATAATTTCCTTGGTGAATATATTTTCATGCTTTTTGTGGTATGTGAAACCATAATCTCGACAATCCTGCTGTAACTATTGATGTATGTTTAAGATAATATTCAGAGTACAGAGGGACCATCAAGACTGACATACTAGGTCTAACCATTTTATTTCATTATTACAGCCAGTTACAAAATTTATACTGAAACATTTCAGTGACACTTTCTACCTGAATACACTTGATACAATACATTTTCTGGAAAAAACACCCACACCTGGCTGTTAGCAATAACACCATTTAAGCAATGAGTGTATTACTTTTCTTTGGTGTTTATCATAAAAATCAGTTTGTCAAACCAACCCATACATCAAGCCTATACTGATGTGTAATGTATAATATATAGGGGAAATCTGAGCTCAGGTTAAGGCTGACTGGAAGTGTTGGTGATACTGAGGCCTAGACTCTGTGTTAATTTCTGTACTGTACATGTTTTCTGTGTGAGTGTTTGTAGGAGAGTGAACTCGTCATTTCATTGGCTATAAATGTGATATGAATGTAGATTCTACTAGTGTGTCTGATTGTCATCTTTTACATCATTATCTGAATGTGAATACCTCATCAATTATATCTTCATCATAATGTAAATATTTCATCAACTATATCATCTACCAGTAAGTGTAAATATTTCATCTATTACATCTTCACCATGTAAATATTTCATCCACTATACCATCTACAAGTAGTTGTAAATATATGTATCATCTGAGTGTAAATATCTTATCTATTATGTCGACTGAGTGAAATCTCAACTATTAAATTATCAAACTGTAAATATCACCTCCTTTACATCTTCATTGGAATGTAAGTATTTGATCTGTTACTTCACTCGAGTATGATATTGATTACATCATCATATGAGTGTAAATATCTATTATATCATCTGAGTGTAAGCTGAACTACACAGGTATCTCAGACTGTAAATTTGGCCTTCTTTACATATTCATTCAAATGTCAATATTTTGTCCATTAGATCTTCGTTTAGATCTTCGTTGGAGGGTAAACTCACCCATTACTTCATCATCTGTATGAATATCTCCTCCATTACAAGGACATCATTAGTTGAGTGTGGATGTTTAAATCATGACATTGTTGCGTCCATATTTTTCCTACCATGCTGCGAAAAAGTATATTATCTGGAAGTCTATCATGAGGTTTTAATCATAACAGATTTCTGTTTATGCAGAAAAAGGTTATGAAATTTATATTTTGATAAAATATAAGACGTGAGTTTCATAAATCACCTTTTTCGTCCTCATATAGTAGTTGTTTGGTATGAGAGGAAGTCCATACACAAAGGGAGTTTTTGCATCAACATTTTCTTTCATGACATTTAATTTGTTGTGGTGCAGTACAAACTTTGATAAAGGAATGTTACTGTAAAATGGGAAACTTTTTGCCCTGATATTATTTTCTCCTTTTCAACCTTGAATGAGAGAAGAACACATTCAACCTGTAGAACTGGGATCTATAAAGTTAGCAGTACTGCTCAGTGTGTGTTGACAAATCTGTTCTAGAAGGCTAAAGATTGCAAAAGTTTTACATTTACAGTAGCAAGTCTGTTTAAATTTAATTATCAATAACATGTTATTATTTTTGTTATTGATATTTCGAATGGCAGCAGTTATGATGTTCTCGACAGTTAAATATTCATGTAGCTCGTCAGCAATTAGGGCAACACATGTTAATTTGTAAATATTTTTGTAATCATCATGCAGATTTCACTGTTTATATTTAACTTAATCATGTACCTCAACTTGATTTCATTGATAATTTGTTTCAGTTAATCAACACTTTCAACTCTGATTAAAAAGTTTAAAAAAATATGAACTGAGGTACTTTGTATATTAATGGATCAATTTATACTGATCAATTCAATTATATTTTTTAAAGAGAAATCTCAAGAAACAAGTTAATATGTTTTCAATGTTATGTATAAGATGTAATTTTATAAAACTTCCTAGAAGAAATTTTACATTATATATTTTTAACATTTGATAAGTATGAAAATCTATTTTTAAAGATGGTGTCCTGACACAAATACTATAATGTTTTATACAAAGAATTCACAGTTGTACAGATACTTTTTTTTTTAATTTGATGTTGGGATATATTTTAAATTAGAAAACAATAATAGTGAAATTCTTATTGTATACAAATGTTTCCTGATTCACTAAGTATTTAAAGTACTGGTCATTCACTGATAAGAAATATGCTGATTGTCAGTCTCTTATGGTGTTTTTCACTATTTTTAACGTGGTACTGTACAACGTATTTTTGTGTAAAATAAGATACATTTCCTCTTTGTGAAGTTGTGTCATATTGTTAAGATATGTCAAATCTCAGATTAAGAAATGTATTATTAGATCCCAGGTTACACAAGGGAAGGATTGTAATGAAGTAGATGTATTTAGGGTGTGGTAGAATTATTTTTCCACCAATGACAGATTTCCACACATATTTATTCAGTTAGTGTTGTTACTGTCACCACAATGGTCAGTATATATTTACTACTAATGTAGATTTAGATAAATACACATCATGTATGATAAACAATACTTTGTCACAAGCAGCATTTTGACTTGGCAAGTGGGTGGGGAATTTGTTACATATATTAAATTTTAAAATTACTGGTAGCTTGGGAAATGATAAGACTTCAATGGAATTTAGACTAATAGCAAGGGAAATCAAGAATGTTGTCTTAGCAACGGAAATACTTTGACTGTCATTTGACTTTTGAATAAGTAAAAGAAATATATTCGATTTTGAATCAGCAAGGGACAAAATTTGACAATTCGGTAGTGATGATGAATAGTATCATATAATTATTGTTATAATCTTTACAGATTTGTCCATCTTTGTTTTGAATGCATGTGAGGGTACACTACACTGTACCGTATTATACTAAAGTAAGAGCTGGAATTACGTTATCATGAGAGAACAGTTTTGTTGAATATATTATTTTAGATATTTTTGATTCTGTTTAATTAATGGTTAGCCTAAAACTGAATTAAGTTGACCTTATGTTTTAATGACTAATTTAAAGAGTGCTGTAATGTTGGTCTTACAGACTGGTGTGCCATAACTAATATATATACCAGCAATCAGTGCTCAATGCATATCTTACAGATTTTGTTAAATTTCAACACTGTATTAATGACTAATGTTGATTTTGATAGAGCTGGGGAATAGATTTATGTCACTATAAATGTGAATACATTTATTTCACTATAAATGTAGCCATTATGGATATTCTCTTAGACTACACATTTCTACTTTCAGAATTAACATTTTATTTATTTCAGTCTAAAGAGGAAAAAAAGTGTTTAAATCCATTGGTTGACATTTTATTGCAATTTTGTTTAAAGTTTATATTGGTACCAACCTTAACAATGTTTATAAATTTTTCTACAAGCAGTTTATGTTTTGTATAAATTGGGTTGTTTTCCTGTGTATAAACATTGTAAATTCTAAGCAACCAACAGACCACCATAATACTGTATACCAGGAATTCTTTGCTACAGTTTATTTTTTGCCATTTTTGCCTTTTTTGCCCTCTGCAATAACGGCAAATTTACCTACACAGTTTACCTCATCATTGCATTTAATTACATGTGAAGCACGAAATTTACACTAAGTGAACATGGATTTTACCTGTGAAGGGCGAATATTTACACTTAGTTAACATGGATTTTATCTGTGAAGGGCGAATATTTACACTAAGTTAACATGGATTTTATCTGTGAAGGGCGAATATTTTCACTAAGTTAACATGGATTTCACCTGTTAAGGGGGAATATTTACACTAAGTGAACATGGATTTTACCTTGAAGGGCGAATATTCACACAAAGTTAACATGGATTTTAACTGTGAAGGGCGAACATTAGACTGAGCGAAAGTGTCCTGGTATACAGTAATTATATTAAGTTACTGTGAATACAGTGGTGGACCAAGACATACAATCTCATACATGCATGTAAGGCTTTCACTCTGTGAAGGTGAAAATGATTTGTTGTTTTTGTACCCATTGTACTGTACATATTATATGCAGCATATATTTAATAAAATAAGACAAAACATTTCCGTTTTGGTGGATTTTTTGCATATAGTACAATGTTTATTGACTAGAACCAGAAAATTTGTAAATCAACTAATTGTCTCAAATATTTATTTCTGTAGGTCTTTCAAAAATCTTATTTACAAGAATTACAAGACAATTATTTACACAAATAGTGAAAGGGTACCAAACAAATAAGTATTGATGGTCATTGATATATATATATCCAGTGAGTCAGTTTACTCTCTGGTAAAATTTCCAATTTTGAAGAATGGGTAGATTATGTTTTGGACAAGAGGCTCAATGGGCCTATATCGCTCACCTGTCAGTCATTTCACATCTATGACCTATCTTTACACATTAAGGGCCATCATTGGAGATTTTTTTCTTTACAACTTTTGAATCTGTATTGAATCCTGTGACCTTGGAAGCAGGTCAAGGCAATTTATTTGAATGATAGAAAAAAAATATGATAGCCCTTCATCCCAACAAGTTTCTAGCCAAATATCACCCTAGGTCTCTAGGTTATTGAGAAGAAGTAACTTAAATGCTGTAGTGAATTAACATCTGTGATCTTGGAAGTATATCAAAGTCAGTTATACACAACAAATCTTGATGGCCATTGTTCCAACCATACTATTGGCTAAAACAACCTGTTAATCAGAGGTTACTCCTGTTACCTTTGAAATGTGTCGAGCATTCCCACCCCTGGTCAGTGATCCAGAAAAGAAAACATCTGCTGTTACTGCATGACCGTACGAGGCAGCTAATGTGGGAACCCTCTGCCTTCAGCATGGCATTTCAGTGGGGTAGCACTATAAACACAGCATCAGATCCGCGCTATCACAAGGAGGCGAATACGCCAACATACCCTGCGTCCAGCACACATACACAACACACATGGAGGCAGTCCTTAAATGACCTTCGTTGTTAATAGGAAGTTAAACCCTTTACAACCAATCACTCAAGCAATTCATTAGCTATTTATCATCACTCTAGGCATTTGGGTTATTTTAAAGAAACAGTTTTTAAGTTGTAACACATTTGAACCCCATGATCTTGGAAATGGGTCAATGTCAATTATTCCAACAAAGTTGAAAGCCTTTCATCCAAGCATGCTATTGACCAAATACCATTATCCTAAACTTCCTGATGATTAAGATGTTTGAAGGTTTTAACACATTGACCCCTGTCTGAGACCTCTGAAGGGGATCAGTCATATCATTCGGTCAAAACATGCTATTGCCTAATTATCATTATCCTGGGACTTTGAAATGAAGTGATTTAGGGGTTTTAACCAGTTTGACCCCTGTGACCTTGAACGTGTGTCACTGTCATTTATTTGAACAAACCTTTTAGTTATTCATCCCAGCATGATTCAAACAAAATACCATCACCCTTAGCCAATTTGCAATTCAGAAGAAGTATATATATATATATATATATTACCGTTGTGACTTTTAAAGTGGATATTTAAGGTCATACGTTTGAGCAAACCTGAAAGCCCTTCACCTCAACATGTTACTGGACAAATATCATCATCATGGTTATTCGGAAGAAATGCTGGTGAGCGCTGAGAAAATCATCTCTACTCAAGACACTATCTCTAGTCCCCTTTGTACACGTGACTTACATGTTTTCACACTGCGATGTTCAAAGTACGATAATATATAAGATGCTCATTTTACCCAAATTAGTCAGTACCAACTCAGTTAGAGGTTATTACACTTCGGTAACGAAAATTTGTCTATTTTTGAAAACGAGCTACTTTGACTTGTGTTCAAAACTATTTTGCTTATATCAAACATTTTAGAGTAAAGCCTGACTTGGTGAGTTTTAAATTGTCACAAATATTTTGACTGCATCACTTTCCATCAATGGGAGGTGGCATTTTTACCGAAGTTGATATAAATTACTCGCAACACCTTATTTGATTTCCAAAAATAGCTTTTACAATTTGTCAGGACCCTATACCCCAAGAGGTTTCCCTTCACTATGATCGGAAATCTCTACTTCCTAGCGAAATTATATCTTTCTTTATTATAGTATTTCCTGAGACGTTTATACGTCTCTGAGTATTTCCCATCAATTTTTGAGTAGCCTTTTTATCACCATCTATAAGGTATAACGAATTAATATAACCTTCAAGTTGTTAGCTTGTTTCCGGTTCATTTTCTGAGTGTAATATTGATGTAATTGGTAAGTGTAAACTTTCTCATAAATAACAAAATTGCATTTTCGCTTCAGATAGAAATACCTATATCAGGCGTACAGATACCACATGGCGGTAGATTCTATATTACAATCCTTGCGGCAACAACAGAATGTTATACATGTGCTTGACATTTGCAAATGAATTGTATAATGTCCAGAAAATAATAAAAATGATTTTTTTTTCGCCAACAGAATGGTATCTATAATCACGGATATACTGAAATCTCTGGCTTTAGAACTTCATAGGGCTCTGCTTAGATCCAATTCCTTGCTTGAATGAACCATGGTATTTAAAATCATTCAAAGCATATTGCACACAGAAACATAAAATGTGTAAAGATCATTTTCAATCAAAATATTACAATCAAAATAATAAAATGTACGTTAAGAAGCTTATCAGTTGAATCACTGAATTTGATTAGATTGCTATCTAAGTCCGTGGTTGAATCACATCATTTCATCAGAGACGTATACTGTACAGTTATACGTTTATGATTTCATTTGAATCAAAATGTATGTTTTTTAAATATTTCATCCAAAATCACAATTTGTCAAAAAAAATCTGCTATATGTATTTCTCATCACGATTACTTTACGGAAGAAAAAGACTTGTTACTTATCTATATCACGGAATTAAATTATCTAAGTCCGTGTCTATATAGACCAAATTAAAAAATTCAACTTTCAATAGTTTCACCATAGGAAGGGAGATAACCATGTTCAAGTGCACCGCTTATTTCCCTTTACAGTCGACAAGAGGTCATCAAAGATGGCGTCCAAGGTTGTCCTGCGAGGGATACAAGAAGTAAAGCCTATCCTTTCTGTTAACAAGACAGAATCGCGGAGAAGAGCATTGAATCTGTATAGAGCCTGGTACAGACAACTGCCATACATAGGTACACATTGAAGACATTTTTAGATTTACCGTTTTGCAGTGATGGGAGTCATGACTGTCGACACAATCCACGTTTTAATTTTGACTGTTAGTTATGATGGTTTAGACAGAACATATAATCAATATAACTCTCAGGTCCAGACCACTCTGCCGATTGAGCTATATAACTATTAAGACCTATAATAGCTACCTATCTGAAATAGGTCTTTTGAGCTATTTTCATGTGATTTTCTTTTTTAAGGAAAATGAAACAAAGTCGCTAATAAAAGAAGATTTTATCATTAACGGTTGATAACAAGTCATTAAATATAAGTAATCTTTTTAGAAAATAATGATGTAAAAAAAATCTGAAATTTAACAATTATGAAAAATGAAAATAAACATCTAACTGTATGCATCTAACTGTAAGCTTTTTTTAGTCAACACTAATTACCATAAACCTTTTTGTTTTATGCGACTTTGCTTCAATTTAATGAAGATTGAAATAGCTCAATACAGTACTGTACAGCTATAATTTATAAGTGAATGTAGCTACTATATAGGTATTTACAGCGAATATATAGCTCAATCGGCAGAGTTTACTGGACCTGACTGTTGTTTGAGGCATCTACGTTAGTTGCAGTAGAGCATTTAAAGGACAAATGAAGACCTATTATTTTCGTCGTTTTTTTTACTTGCTGACTTCAATGATGTTTACTACACAAGTCCCTTCAGTTTAGTTTTGACATTTGATATTCACTTATGTAAACGGGACTGCAGGGTCGATCGTCGTATCTTAATTGGTAAAGCATCTGTCTGGCTATGCATATTAAGAAAAGAGAAATCTTCAACCCAATAAATATTTTTGATTGTCTTACCCGAGGCTTTTTACTGAAATAGGGGAAAATAAAGCTGAAATAGCCAGGGGAAAATAATGCCGAAATTGGAGAGGGAGACCCATATTCGGTCATAAAAAACAAGAGCTTTTTTAATGTTACTGTTATTTTCTTTCTTTAACTCAAGTGTCAACAGATAAAGCTAGGATACCTGACTATATAAAAGTTGTCTAACTATAACCTTACTAAACAGCACCTGACACAAACAAAGTCATTTCTGGGAAATGTCATAAAAAGTCATATAACCTGAATCCTCAAATCTTTTTTTTTTCAATTTCAGTAACGAACTTCCACATACCACTGACAACAACACAATGTAAAAGTCGCCTGAGGAGTCAGTTCAACAAAAATAAAGACCTCAAAGATCTTCGTGTCATTGACATGTTGGTCATCAAGGTACATTGAGAAAGACCATGTTATTATATTTTGGACTGTTGCATATAATATGTATCGGACTCTGTGAAATGTGATCATGTATACACCAGATTTCTAATTCACTACATAGCCTGGGTTGCTATATGCTGATTGATTAGAGCCAATGTCTGTAAATCACTGTGAAATATTATTTGTGTAGTAAAGCTGTTTTAATGTCCTGGAATCCTTTTTATACGCCTGTCAAAAGACCGGCCGTATAAATGTTATCAATATTACGTTGGCAGGTTGGTGACCGCTCAATACCTTCATTAATTCTCAACAGATTATATTCAAACTTCATAAGAAGGATCATTACCATAAAAGCTCCGACAAGTTTGATAACATACAATATCCGATGGTAACTTACAGAGTTAGGACCCTTTATCCACTTTTTGAAACATTGTCCACTCAATACCTCGTGTAGTTTTTAGTGGATTAACTTGAAACTTCAAAGAAAGGTTCTTTGTCAAGACAGCTCAGAAATGTTTGATTACCGCAATTATCGGACTGTAAGTTACAGAGTTATGACCCTTTATCCACTTTCCGTAACAGTGTCTGCTCTAAATCTCAAGTAGTTTTTCTTAGGATTAAATTCAAACTTCATAGGAAGGTCATTGTCATGAAAGCTCAGACAAGTGTGATAATCACCATTGTCCAATCATAATTTATGGAGTTACAGCCCTTTATGTACAACCATGCAGACAACTGCTCATTTAATGTATGACAGGCGTACCCTTGTTTTACACACAATTTCCAGTATTTTTCCCCTGCAGAAACCGCCAGGATTTAGATATATGCATGTCACACGATATGGGGAAGTTTGGGGTTATTTATGATAAACAATGATACCCGATTGCTGTAATATGTTACAAAAAGTGTCTGTTCCTGGTTGCAAGTCTGATCAGAGGAAATAAGTGGTTAATTATATGAATGGCTATGAGCAGATAAATCTGATATTGTATACATTCTCACCAGAAGTTTACATGCGCCCGCTAATGTACAATAACTGATCATGACAATACCACCAAATATGGGTCTTTCCAGAAACCTCAATCTCAAAAAGATGTATTGAGCAAACTGGTTACAGGTCCTCTGAGAGGACCCAAAAACCAAATAGTCCTGTACATATAAATTAATCATCAATATGGCAGGCTTCCATTGAGACTTGTCTTCAGAAATTGTCCTTGAATGCACTAATATATATATTGAGTATACAGTTTTTTATGCTAGAATTTACCTGGGACAACTTCTTCAGTAGCAATTTTTCTTTGAAACAGATTCAGAGGTCATTGCCATAGTGAATAAATAGTAAAATTTTAAAAACTCATACGAAGTCAAAAATAGAAAGTACAATAAGAACATACTTCTGGTACCTCTAATGCATGTGTAATAAATATGTAATTGAATTCATAACATTTAGAAATAACATTAGAAATAGTCAGATTCCTCACTAATAATTCTTTGTACTTTGATAAATGTCCCTCCTAATCACATTGTTTACCTATCGCATTAATGTTTACATCATACTTGCACAAGTAGCTATATACAGTATACAAGAATAAAAATACCTTTATGAAATATTCTGCTGATATCTTTCTTCAGGGTCAGATGGAACTTATGGAGACAGTCAACAACTGGAAGCAGAGAAATCATGTTATGCAGCTTTTCGATGACTTTTCAGCAGCTTCTAAATCGAAAGACTTTTTGTCAAAGTTCTATGAAGGTCATGAACAGTAACATCTGGAGGCCCAAACTAGTACTTTGTATATATACACTGAAACTTGCAAGTGTTTGTTTTGATCCTGGTATTAAAATAAAGTGTTTCCAAGACCACCAGTGAACCTCAACACTTCCAAAATGGAGCATCTGGTTTTGATATGTGAAAGAATGTGTAGTTATTTGTAAATAAATGTTAAAATATCATAATTTGGTTCCGTTTATGTTTGTTATTTGAAAGGTTACAGTAAACATTACGACTTTTGAAATGGCAGTACAGACCAAACATTGTGCTGAATGTTTCTTATGATGTATGGACTTACAGCTGTCAATCCTGCCTCCCAAAATTTACCAATCTTCCTCAAAACACCCTCATTCAAGTCCAAACTCGCACTTACTCAAAATCTACATCCTGTGTTCAAATGATTTTCTAGGTACTGCAGGGTGTGTGTAATGGCCATAACAGGTGTGTCTGAATCAAATAAATCCTGTTTGGAGTTATTTTGATTCATATAAAGGGACAGATACATCGAGCAAAGCAGTTTCTGTCGTGTTTCACACACTTTCTCCCTCATTGGAAATGTGGAATACGAGATATCTCCCTCATTGAAGGTTTCAGAGGTTGACACCTAAAACTTATAAAAGAGCACAATATATGGTATGTACAGGACTATTACTCATGTACATGAAAGATGACCTTGTGTTCAGGGAAAATTTTCCCTATGCTGGTTAAAAGTTGTATTCCTCCAGTGTTAATTTCACCATTCACATTTTATTTCTCTATAATGTTTTTTCTTACAGAACATTAGTTTTAATGATAGTGTTTCACCCTCATTATTGAGGGCAAAGTCGAAAGTTAAACTGAGGGAAAATGCTAGTTACAATATACTGACTACAGTGCAGTTTTCTGCCATATTTATGGAATCAACATTTCATAAAGAAAGAAAATCTTGTCATAAAATAGATGACTTTTAATCAACACTGAAAAAAGTTCCTATCAAGTTGATTTGTGGCTCATCTTTATATTGTTGTTTGGTGTAAATTTATTTTGATATAAAATGTGCAAATGAAGCATGTGTTGGCCGTGGCACATGCACATTGTTGATATACAAATGCATATATACTAGACATTCTTTGGGAAAACATTTAATTGTCCAAGCAGCTGATATACCATAGACATGCCTATGTTAGCATAGCCATCTGTTAAAAGTCTAAATGGTGCTAAAAAGTAGAGCATTTCATAATGGCAATGAGCTATGAGGACATTGGCCTATTGTTGTCCTTGCCATTTATGGAAAGTATGTAAAGTTTCGTGGGCCATGTGAGTTCACCTTGTGGTGGTGCTGCCTCCGTTGTCTGTACGTCTCTTGGCGTTTTCATTTTATAGTACAGCCAACTTGATTTTAATGTAATACAAGAGGCCCAGAGGGCCTGTATCGCTCACCTGGATATCAAAAGTAATCATGGCAAAATATTCTCCAAATAAGATCCAAGGGAATGGGCCAGACCAAAAGGCCAATCTTTGTATCATATCTGTATTAGATTTTTCATGCTCAGCAATTTTATGTATGGTTATGGGGTGGGGATCTCAACTGTTTCCAAGGGGTGATTCAGAAACTAGGTCCCTCGAGTTGTGGCCAGACCCCAGGATCAATTATCATATCATGACTGCATTTGTCTCTTTATGCCCAGCATTTGTATATACAGTTTTGAGGTGGGGATCTCAAAGTTCAAAGTAATGACCCAGGGGTTAAGACTGCCAGGGCGGGGCCAGACCCCTGAGCAATCTTTGAAGCATATGTGCATTCTTCTCATCATACTCATTAATTGTATATATGGTTATAGGTTGGGGATCTCAACTATTTCCAAGCAATAAACTATATTTGGTCCCACTCCTTAGCCAAGGGGGTCAGCCCCACTACTTGTACAATTTGAATCCCTGCCTCCCATGAATGCTTCCAACTAAATATGATTGATATCCAGTGCATAGCCTTCATTTGGCCATGCCCCTCAGCCCCACCATTTGTACAATTTTGAATCTCCACTATCTAGGGATGCATCCAGTCAAATAAGGTTGATATCCATCTCTTAGTTCCAGAGAAGAAGTCGCTTAAAGCAATATAACCAAATAACCCTTTTTGGCCTCGGCCCCATCATTTGTACACTTTTGAATCCCTGCCTCTCATGAATGCTTCTGACCAAATATGATTGATATCCAGTGCATAGTTCTACGGAAGGAGTCATTATAGCAATTTAGCCAAATTGCCCACTTTTGGCTCTGCCCCTCCGCCCCCTGGGGGGTCAGATCCACCATTTGTACAATTTTGAATCCCCACTACCTAGGGATATTCCAGTTAAATATGGTTGATGTCCATCTTTTAAATGTAGAGAAGTTGCTTAAAGCAATATAGCCAAATAACCCTTTTTGGCCCACCATTTGTACAATTCTGAATCACCGCCTCCCATGAATTCTTCTGACCAAATACGACTTCTTCTGTAGAACTGTGCAATGGATATCAATCGTTTATAGCAATATAGTCAAATTGTCCCCTTTTGGCCCCACCCCTTAGCCCCTGGGGGATTAACCCTCCCATTTGTACAATTTTGAATCCCCACCACCTAGGGATGCTACCAGTCAAATTTAGTTAAATTCCAATCAGTTGTTAAGAAGAAGTTGTTTGAAGAAATTGACATACAGACAACGGACGCCACGGTATGGCATAAGCTCACCTTGTTCCTTCGGACCAGGTGGGCTAATAATTTTAATTTAATATCATCCGAATCATCAGTGGGCTGTTGTTTAAATAAAAGATGTGATATGGAGAGGTAAGATCAAGTTGGAGACAAGAGGCCCATTGAGCCTGCATCGCTCACCTGCTGTTGATCTTGCTTGTAACCTTAAAAGTAGACCAAGGTCAAATATATCTATATGGACCAAATAAAGTTACTGGCTCAATGCCATTACTAAGGACTCTCTGTAACTCAAATAACATGTGAACCCATTGACCTTGAAAGCTTAACAAGGTAAAGCAGTTGAGCCAACTTTGTAGCCCTTTCTCTCAGCCACCTACATGTAGTGGTCAAATATCATCACCGTGTAGCTGTTGGTTAAACACATTTAACCCCTGTGACCTAGAAAGTGGGACAATGTCATTTGTATATGTATATGCAAAGTTGGTATCCCTTCATTCCATCATGCTAATGGCCAAATATCGCTCTGTAACTTTTGGTTGTTTAAAATAATTTATTAGATTCAACATAACTATAACACCATTGACTTCTGTGACAAAGTCATTTATTGACACATTTAATTCCTGTGACCTTGATAATGAGTGAAGGTCATTCTTTTTAACAAAACTGATCAGCTTTCATCCCAGCATGCTACTGGCCAAATATCTTCAACAAGTCTTTTAGTTATTAAAAGGAAATCATCTCACTGTTTTCAACACTTTTGACCCCCTGTGACCTTAAATTCTGGTTCTTTAGGTTTTAACCTTTACGAATTTGACCCCCTTTGACATGTGACCTTGAATAAAGGTCAAGGTCCTTTTATTTGCAATCTCTGTTTGGATCTACCAGCCAAATATCACAACTCTGGGCCTTTTATTTCTTCCGAAGAAGTTGCTCGACATATTTAATCTCTGTGACCTTGAAAGCAGGTCAAGTTTTTTTTATTTGCAACTCTGTTTGGCTCAATTTTTAGGAAGCTATTAGCCAAATATGACAGTAGGTTTGTAGATTCTTAAGAAGAAAATGTACGCACTTTTTTTTACCCCTGTGACCATCAACAAGGTTCAGGGTCATTTTTATTTGCAAACTTTGTCATGCTCACCCTCGGAAAGTTAAACATATGTAGGTGTGTAGGATATGGATAATTTACATCCTCAGATAGAATTTTTCTATCGCCTCTTCACCAGAATTTTGGTAAAACAGACACGAATAATGCAAATGGATGACTATTCACTGAGCAGCAAATCAAAACACAAAATAGATATACAGGGCAATGGCTTTTAATGATATTAACATACTTGCCTTCAATAACATAGTAACCAAACATGTTTACATGTAACTTAATCAGAAAAATTTAGTTAGTGGTATGGAATAAGTACTTACTTTGTAGACAGTTATAGTCTGACCAAAATGACATGTGGCATTTACCTTGACATGGAAAATTCATATTGGACAATTGCATTTAGCCCACATGTTCATACACATCTTAGGGTGCCAAGGTCGTTTCACCTCTAACTTGAATAGTAGATCTACATATGCTCTGTAACAAATATTGATTTGCCTGCAAACAATATAGTGGATCAGAGGTCAGAGCAACTGGTCATTTTGGTCCAAATATATAATATTGATGCAATACCTTGAACAATTTCTAAATTCATGTACATTGCATGATTTCAGCTGAAAAGGTTTTTTTAATATTTTCATACATTACATTTGCCATTAAAACAAAATCAGTCAATAAATCCAAAATACTGCATGTTAAAAATATTAAATTACATTAAATTCTTCACTAGATATGTATGTTAAAACTTCTAACTTTAATTTCTGATAAGAATGGTAAAATATTGAAATTCATCATTTAAATTACTTATCTTAACATGAAGAAGATGCCAGAGGGACCTTTATCTCTCACCTGTTTTTATTTGATATCTGAATGGGAACTTGAAAATGTTAACTAACAATCACAATAACGGCAATATTTCTCCAGATTTTGGTTAAAACTAACTTGCATTTAACACACATGCAGGGGTGTTCAATTTTATATTTTTAATTACTAGCCTGTAGGAAGATGTTAACTAAAAAAAATCAATACCAACCTAATCTATATTCTCATAGAAAAAAAAGACATTTTTCACCAGCCCTTACATAAAATCAACTAGTTCCAGGCTAGTGAAACTGTACACCCCTGACATGGAATGATATTTGCTTAGCATTGCTCAATACAAAATTTAACAAATTTCCATAGTTGTCTTTAGTAAAAAAAATCAATGTCAAGTCCAATGTTGTGTAACAGACTGACACTTTGACATGGCATAAGCTCATCTGGCCCTAAGGGCCATGCGTGATAGCAAAATGTTTATAAACATAACATAGAAATACGCTTTGCTTTCATTTGGGACTCTCATATAATTACCAATGTTCAGTTACAATTTAAAACACAAAAATGAAAAATATGTTTTAATGAATTTATACAATGATTAAAATCAGTTCACAATGAACAGCAATACCATGTACAAATAAAACTTTTAAAAGACCCTTTCATTTAGTCAACTAAATTAACATACAACTCAAATCTGTAGTAATGGATATTTTTATTCTCCATCACATGTTTTTGTTTTTCAAATAAACCAACAGTTTATGTTGTAAATCTAGAGAAACATGGAAAACAGAAAATATGAATACAATTCTGCTGCAAGTCACTTCATATTCATGATCATCTATCACAGATGAAGTTGCAGTATCAAAATCTGAAAGTCTCACCAAACCAATGATATTGTAATATGTACATAAAGAGAAAATCCTTGTCCATATTATGTGCAACAAGAACACCCCTCATATCCACTGGATACAGTTCAAATAGAATCACAGCATTATCTGTAAGCGTTCTTTCTTTTTGGTTCCTCCATTCTCTGCAAGCACTTTCACCTTTTGAATCTGTCAAACAGTTAAAAAGGGCAGGTCAGAACAATAAAAAGTCTTGGTCATGATGTCATCAGACAAAAAGAACTTATCAAATTTGCCTTATTAAACTATTTTGCTATTCTCATTGAAAATTATTAAGTGTATTGATAATGACTGTTCATGAACTTTGTACAATGTAAACTGAAAAATTACAAGCAAGAGTAGTGCGAATGTACATAACAGGCCCTTGGACATCAGTATGGAAGCCATAGTATGGTATACATATTTTATTAATATTAATATAAATGTGATCGTGGCAGAAGTTGAGCTTGCATGTAGTCTTGAAAGATTGATGTCAGGAACATTAGCATGTAGATACATCAAGTGTTTGATTTAAAACTTTACTGAGGAAACTGAAGACATGTCAAATATTTATTGTTGCTGTTACATAAACCTTAAATGTATGACTTTGATCACTAGAGATTTTTGTTAGAAACACTAGCAGGGGTTGCATGTGTAGCCAGTAAAAATACCAAAAATACCCTCCTACTACAGATAATTCAACTGCTGGAAACCCCTATACTAGTTTGAGTTTTCATGAAATATGGTTAAACATTTTTGTCAGGAGCCAAATGATGAAATAGGGACAAAAAGGATGACCACAAGATAAGCTCTGACAAAGGTAGGTGTTTAAAGATTACATACTTAACTTCACAGAAGGATGTTTTTTTTATTCAAACCTTATCAGAGATAAATTATATCAATTCACAAGAGCTGAAATATAATGTACAGGTATCGAGTCCATTTTGCTTTAGGTCTATTTTACCAATTTTTCCCTAGTTCCAAAGATCTCTGAATGAACGATTGCAAAGGAAGGACTTTTTTTGGTTTCATCAAAACTACTGTATTGAAACAGAATCACATGTTCACCGAGTTATTGAATACTGATCATTTGCTGGAAAAATCTCTTTCCAGAGGTATGCATACTGGGAGTATGTAAACTGCATGGAAAATATTGAGAAAAATCCAGATCAGAGGTTTGACCAGTTGTGGTGGATGTCGGGGTATTCCTAACAATACACACCTAAGGGGTTATGAATGATGACTGTCTCAGGACTTTGACCTCGAGTCTCGTCTGCGATCCCTTTCTGCGCTCCTACTTCTGCGCGACGCTGATGCTGACCTTGACCGGTGGCGATGCCTCCTGGACTTTGATCGGCTTCTGGAACGTCTTGACCTTGACCTTGACCTCCTGAAGAACAAACATTTGGTGGAAAAATCTCTTTCTAGAGGTATGCATACTGGCAGTATGTATGTACATGTAGTATGTTTTTCATTTCGTATATGCTTTAATTCTATTCTACATTTTGCAGCATCTTATTTGTATTTGAATTCCAATTACTAAAATAGTGTATATTGGGTCAATTTTTATTCTTTGCTATATTAGCATTGTATGTATATTCCACTTCATAGTGTTTTAATCCTAAGTCCTAAGTAATTCTTTTGTGATATACAAGTTTTCATTCACTATTAACTTTGTCTTTTATTTACTTATTCTGAATACTACTCATCTGTGATCACATTTAATGCTTTTCATATATCAACACTATTTTTTATATATTAATTGTTCCAAAAGGGTCATATCTAAGGGGCCTTTGTAGGTAGGGGACTCCCAATCACTTATAAACCTGGTATATGGATACTTTCTTTTTCTGTGATGATTATTACTGTTTTTATTAATATGTGATTATCTCCCTTTACTTGTAATATAATGTTATTGTTATGTCACAATAATAACTCTCAATGTTCCTTGTTTACTTGTATGCGACGTAGCCCCAACACATTCTTATTCAGGGCTCATTTAACTATTTAATAAAAACTTAATGCAGACTTCAAAATTAGCAATTTTTGCTACTGTAAACCAATACATGATCGAACATGTCAGGTGTCTATACAACTTGTTGGAGACATCAAAAGTGGATGTCATTTGAAATATCAATGTAAATGAACAGTGTCATACACTTTCTTGCTATTCGTGTTAGATAGCATAACTGTTCACTTCAAATCACGAAAAATGTTTAAAAATGAGCATCCCGTCATGGACATAACATATCACCGCTGGACAGGACAAGGTTGTCATTCAAGCCAGTACGCCAAATATCAAACAAGTGTGCATGGTCTATAACCTGACAGAGGACAATACCCACTACAGGCGCCATCTAGGTCAATCTATATTTAGATTTAAGGTTTCCCAGTTACACGTTTTGTCCGTAACGATTTGGACGACAATCAGGATGCATCGCATGATTGTCTTAGTTTAACAAAATTTAAAGCAAGAGAATGCCTCCTCCTTTCTTTTTTAGGGGTTATGATGCAATGCGTGTAAATTTCCGTATGAAACTATCATCATTTACATGAAAAAGATTAATCAGAATGTGAACAGGAAAAGGTACACAAAGTTACGAACGAAACGACTTCCTTCAATGTCATATTTTTCTTTATTCTGTGCTAGTATGTACGATTGTATTACCTCAGTACATGTATTGATATCTTTTCTTTACATTGTATTATTCCCTTCATAATAATAGGACACTCTGTGATTTATACAAAGGTCTTTTTCAATGTCACAATTTGGAGTGAAAATACATGCCGATTTCAGCTATAATTTGTACAGGATTTTTATTTTTTTGCTTTTGAAACTTATTTAAACATTATCTGTTTTTATCTCTTTTAGACATATTTAAAACAATGAAAGTGTAAAATTTCACAAGTTTATTCAAAATAATGGAAAGTCCGAAATAACAGAGGAACCCTCATTTGAACCAAGACTGAATTTTATCTCAATTATAATTCATTTTTTCATTATCTATTTTGTGTATGTGGTTGTATTCTACTGAAGGCCAAATGAAATTAATATTAAATCTTTAGTTACTCATGCCACTTCTTTAAAAAATATTATGCTGCAGACACAATGATACAGTTGTCTTTTTTTTCTCTACAGACAAAATTTTATATATGTGATGCATGGTAACATTCCTGTATCTGGAGATTATGCTTCATAGCAACTGTTTTAGTTCAAATACTCTTGATATGAACTGATAACATCATCACTTTGGTGATAAAAGTTGTTTAAGTAAAGAAACCAACTTCTGGAGAATTATAAAAACCTATATATAAATGTTGCTTGGTGGAAAATTGACAAAACTTGACACACCAAATTGTTCCTAAGTCCAAACTTAACCTCAAAATGTTCAGGTTTTGAAGTGACTGTTCCATAATGTTATATGATCAATTCAGGCTAATATGACACAAAACTATCCTGAATTACAAGTCAGTTTATATAATTTAACAACATCCCACTTTCATAATTTACCTTTTATGTCTTCGTGACCTTGACCTGGAACGTGACCTTGATCGACGTGACCTTGAACGCCGTGATCTGGAACCTCGTGATCTAGACCGCCTAGACTTGGACCTGGATCTTGAATGCCTTGACCTTTTGTGTGATCTACGATCATTTGTCCTAGATGTTGATCTGAGAAACATAACAATGAATAAAGTTACCTTTCCTGGGATTTTTCCAGACATTAATGATAATTTACAAACCATCCATATTAACCTTCAAGTGTAAGATAAAGAATGGATAACAGATCAGTGTTAAGTGACAAATTTGAAATGTAATTATAATACAAGTTTTTTTAACTTTAAACTACATATTTAGGAAATTACATAGGTGTATTACATACCTCCTCCTACTACGACTACTGCTACGTGACCGGCGTCTTCTGTTTTTATCACGACTGTTGCTACGTGACCGGCTCCTCTTTCGACTTTTACTCCTACTTCGACTGCGCTTGCTGGTACTGCGACTACGTCTACGGACGGGACTGGCACTCTTACTTTTTCTTGCTTCCTCTTCTTTCTCTCTCTTAACTTTTTGTTCTTCCCTTTCCTTTTCTCGCAAATTCCTTCTCTCAGCAACACGTGTCTAAAATAATTAAAGTTACATTTGTGTACTTCACCATGCGCTATCAACATATACCAGTTGATCTGTCAAGACAGGACTTTAATATGTATAAAAGCCATCAACTACTGAAAATGGAAATGAAAGCAGCAAAACAAATCTTATCTTAAGACCAAATGATGAAGTTCATAAACTGAGGAAGAACAGCTCAAAATCATGCATTAAAGGTTGAATTCTAATCGAACTTTTTAAATAATTTGATCAAGAGTTGAAAAAAGTGTTTACATTTATCCTTACTTTAAGCTCCTCCAACTTCTCTCTGATTGTGATGAACCCCAAATGAAGTTTTCCACCAAAGTGGTCAGCCAGTCGTCTGTCATTGTCATGGATACCTAGGTAGGCAGAACAGACCTCACACACACGCAACTTCTGTTGCTGGTAACTGGAGGCTGGCATTGAATTTCGGTAGTCTTGCTGTGAATCATAGAAGAAACAGAAGTTTAAAAATATATCAAAATCCTCTTATAATACGGCATGTGAATTCATTGTAAACAAAAATAAATGTGTATTGCCAGATATTTCACTATCATACAACGTGTGTAGACTTCACTTTCACTGCTATATATCAATTCCCCCATTTTTAGCCAGCCCTCGCTGTTATTCAACACGTCATTTGATTGTACATGTTGTATTGTGTCATTCAAGCAAATCTTGCTATTATTGTTACCAGGTTAGGCACCGCAGTTTTAACCTTATACCTGCCTTTTTGTATTTATTTTGTTCTGATGACGACGCCCCTCTGTGTTGAAAACAGTAAACAGTAAACTTGGATCAAAGCCGGTATACCCAGCATGACGTTGTCATGGTCATCTTTTCATTTATCACACAATGTGTTATATCCATGCCAGCAAAGGTTGTAGCTCAATGTGGTACTTCCCACAAGGGGAGCTAATGAATATTATACAAACCTCAGCAAGGCTTTTATTTTTCTTCAGTTCCTCTACTTCTTCCATGAGTTTGAGAGATTCCTCCACCTCTCCCTCGCCCCCCATGGTCTCCGCCTTGGCCATATTTTCTCCAAGCTGCTCTCCCAGTGCATGAATCTTTTCTGCCTGCATTTAAGATTAAATTCTGTTCAAGAGATCATGTACCAATATGTTGACTGAAGTCATCAGTGGGTTACATTGAAACCTATCTTGAATGTTTGCAGGAAAATGACACAAAAGAACTTCACAGACCTAATGAAAAAGATTCTGAGAAACAAATATAACAAAGTTTTGAAGTAATCTCCATTAAATTCCAAATGCCCTCCTTGGCCTCCTATATTGCTCTTTAACAGTGCTGTATTTCACTCTATAAAATTTTAGGCAGTGTAAATGCACTTTGGCCAATGTTTCCATTGCAACTTTTCACAGAAGCAAACTGAATCCATTTTCATGCATATCACAGTATTCAATGATACTAGCCTGCTTGCATTTTTTATTCAAATTCTACAAGATGACCTTTACACATTCATAGTAAATATTGATTTTTTTTTACTAACTGTGATATTAGATTAACTTGAATGGTGTTGGGCTGTGCAATTTTACATCCCTGCTATATCTGGATTTCTATCAGCGATCCTCATGAAACAAGATAAACATGATCAGATTAGGGTACCTTCTGGTTGGCCTCCTCACTGAGCTCTTCCTGGGTCTCCTTCAAACGTCGCTTGGCCATTTCTGTTTTTCTGTCACAGTCTGCGATGAAACTCTGTAGATGTTCCATGGCCTAGATTGACAAAGTTACTTTTTAAGATTTTTTTTAACTTAATTTTAGCATTCAGACAGATTTTGAAAAAATTCTGTAAGCTAAACCTAAATTCCGTAGTTATGTCTGTATATACTCTTACATAATCTTATATATATTTCAAAAGATTGCACAGCAAAAATTCAAGTCACTGTTTAAAGTGAAGCTTATCTGACTAAACAAAATGTTACAAAGCATCATTCATTGAACATACCACACACTACAGTGTCAGAAATGATTTCATATCAAGTTCAATAGTAAACAAACTGATGACCTATAGCTATTACTGAGCAAGAAATGGGAACAATGGTACCCCTCATTACAGCTAACGAATTAAAATGTTTCAATAATCCTGACTGAAATCTAACAACTGATGTGTTAACATTTTAAATTCAACAGAACATGTACCCAGGTATTGGTCGGTTTTATATTTTGGGTACAGGTCTTTAAATTCTGTACCACAACCTGTGCACAGGAGTCTGAAAATATATCCATATATAGTGATAATTGTAAACCATGCCTCAACTTATAAAACATGTACATTATTACTTCTAGATTAACGTATCATTACCAGTAGATATGCATTTTTTTGTTTACGATTCATTGCCACTTATTTTCATTTTTAACCGATCCTGTGCCTTTTTCAGTTTGTGAAGAACACTAATCAATCATAACACAAAACCTAAACCAACCAATTTTATAACATAATGTCACATATAGTAATTCATATATCCCTTGTAAAAAATAAATTTACACACATTCATGTAAAAAGACAGTGTATGAATAACTCGGGCTTATTTTCTTAAGCCAAAGACTAAAATTAACTCCTCCAATGTTCTCCCTTTGACTCTAGCCTTATTATTTTCCACTTTCCATGGGACAACTTTCATAAAAGTAAGAAGCATTAGAAAACTAGAAATATGTCAGAATGGCATGAAAGTCACCCCATTATTCTGTATGATCATTTTCCGATAAATGATTGACCAAGCTACAACAGATATATTTCCACCTGTCAATCAAAATGGTAAACAATGACTAGGTGTAAATACATACACACTGTTCAGGTAGCCATGCCAACACATGGAATTAACTAGAATTTTTGTGAACAAAACATGTCTCCCCTTATTAGCCAATAAACAAACTTCGGTATAAAAAATTAACAAAGGGCCATATCTCTTCAGTGATAAATCCGCATGCGAGTCCCGAGTCCTGTACTCATAGAATTTTGATGGGACTCACAGAATTTCTGAAAATAGTTAAATCAAACATTGTGGGACTCATTGTTTTTAGCAATCCAGTTGAAAAGGACTCATTAAAATAAATTGTGGATGGATCACTGGTCTCTATATATAGTGGGGGCATGAGACCCGAATGAAGAATACAACACTCCTCAGGGTTCTCCCCAGAATTTGTTTAAGCTGATATGTTTCATTTGCAACGAACGTTCAAGATGGACACGGTAATATAATACCTTATAATACCTTATCAAACTTAAGGTAGGGGGGGGGGGGGGTAATATTATGTTTAAATAGTTACTTTGGGGAAACACTTACATTTTGATGAACACTAAAACCCAAGAAAGAAATAAGTGTTCCTTATTTCTGAATTTACAGGAATATTATAGTTTTAAATATTCTTAAAAAAAATGCAATTTATAGAAAGGTGTATGAGTTTTGTACATAGAATAATAAATTTGACATTTGTCTCTTATCTTGACATTTGTATCCATAACTTTATCCCAATTAAAAATAATTTAAAGAAGAAATATTTAAAAGCTGTTAGTGCTATAGGGGGAAACACTTACATGAAAAAGTTTATATCACATTTCTTATTATTGTAAGAGAAAATGTTTTAATAAAATGTAGTGTTTTTATTTCCTTCAAAACTGTATTAAATACTGCTGTCAGTAAATGGGATCAAAGATTAAAACAGTATTTTCATTTGAGCCCTTCTTCCTTAAAAACAACAAGTCCAGATTTTAATTCCGTTTTCCGGTCTGTACTTTACACAATCCAAGTTGGCGACCATTACTAACTGAATACACACGCTATTTCAGCGTTGTCAAATGCAATCATATGTGAGTAAATTGATTGATAATAGATGTAATAAGTGTTTGTTTTCTTAATCCAACAGTAGTTACCCAAATTAATCACCTATTGACCATGCTGAAAGGATCCTGTGGTAATCATTGCTTTAGGCTCCAGTGAGCATGCTTACCGAACACCTGCCGGCTTGTCGTCTGCTCCCCTTCCCGACTAATTACAAACCCCCTGTGGCAATACGCCTATTGTGTAACTGACCAGGGGGGTCATTGCTGCACTTGGGTCAGCCTTGTGATTTAATCAGTGTCAATTTCTTGTGTAAAAAGACCACCTTCAGTACAAATAACAAGGTGATACGGTTCATAGTCTAAGGTGATACGGGTCAATCAAGCTGATACTGCAGGGAGGATTTGAAACTGAAGCTGAGCCGGAGCTGTATCAGCTAAATGGCCTGGGGAGAACTCTGCTCCTACTTCATAAGATACATTAAAACTGTAGCAAAATTGGTCAACGTAGGTGAAATAATATGGAAGTTATGCTGTGGACAAACTTCGGTATTAAAAATAAACAAAGGGCCATTACTCTGTATATAGTTGGGCATAAAACATGATTTTAGTGCGAGAGATTCCGCCTTCCCAAGATACGCAAATATGGTTAGTTTGGTCAACGTAGGTGAAATAACATGGAACTTGTGCTCCGGACAAACTTCGGTATTAAAATTATACAAAGGGTCATAACTCTGTATATAGTGAAGCACAAGACCTAATGCAAGTGCACTGCACACCTTCTGTGGGTGATGCAGGTGTACTTCAAGTTTGATTAAGATATCTTTAATGGTTTAGAAGTTATGTCGTGAACAAACTTCGGTATTAAAAATAAACAAAGGGTGATAACTCTAGTGGGATACAAAACCTGATTTTAGTGCGAGAGTTTCCACCTTCCCAAGATACATAAATATGGTAAGTTTAGTCAACGTAGGTGAAATAACATGAAACTTCTGCTCCGGACAAACTTCGGTATTAAAATTAAACAAAGGGCTGTATCTCTGTATATAGTCAAAAACAAGACCACTTATTTGACCTTTGATCTTGAGGTGAAGGTCACAGTGACATAATTCTGTGGGTGATGCATGCATACCTAAAGTTTCATCAAGATATCTTCGACGTTTTACATGTTTTGGCCTGGATAAATTGCGATAAGAAGAACCAGAAGAAGAAGAACCAGTATTAATACAATGTGTCTTCTTTCATTCGAAGGGGAGACATAATAAGAAAGCAATACATTGCTAGAAGTATAGGAGAAAGCTACTTAAATCAGTTTCAAAGAGAATGGGCCAAATGGCAAAACTTTTTTTGAAACACCCAAACTTGAAATTACCACAAGTTACTTACAAATTTATTAATATAATTGTTATATTGAGGAAATGAAAATATTGATTACGCTCACACTGACAGCTAGCTTACAGAGAAATTCAAAATGTAATACAAATTTTCAACAATCCTACCTTTCCTTTCTGATAATTGTATTGGTGTTTGCATGATAATGAATGAGTGTGCGTCTTTATATACATGTCTGTTATGTCATGTGATGTATATATATTGTAACTAAATGTAAAAATTTTAAAAGAAAAAAAAAGAAAAAAATTCTCCTTTGGAAAATAAAAGATGGGAATGTCTTTGGCTGTTTTGAACCTGTTAATATTTATTTTTCAAACTCAAACTTTTATCATTATCGGTTTAATTTGCATGGATGTCACCTTGTAAATTCCTTGCGGTTAATAGTATCAGACGACCTTGACTTTTTGCGGTACACAAACTTGCTAACTTTGCCACTTAACCCATGTCGTTTCGACACATTCCTACTGTCAAGATTGAAGAATTCAGCATGATTTTACCAAAGAATGACATTTTAACCCCAGAGTGATAAATGCGATGCAATTCTTAGTTATGTTTCCTGATATGTGGTATTTATCAATTCACAACGTAATGTCCTGAAAAGTTGGGCCTACTTTACTCAAGTTTATTTATCGGAGTATCGTGTACACCCCTTTTTTGACACTTCATTTTTCCTTAAAAAAGTGTGCACTATACGCAAATATTAATGGTAGTCGTTGGTCGGGCATGAAATATCTAAATCAATCAATAGCAATTTATAAAACGTTAGTTTACCCCTGTCGGGAACCTCAAAGGTGCCCGATTCATACTCGGAACATCTTTAGGTTATATGTAATTCCTGTGTGAAATTTGAAACGCCTTTAGGTTTTATCCTATTCCTGGTTAAAAAGGAAATTGATATCCGAGTTATCCAAGAGCTTGTAATTTGCGCCTGGTATATTCCGACAGAAGCACACACTTAACAGGCCGAGACAACAAAGGTCAAAATTTGGGACTGCTCCAGGGGCAACTAAAAAAGATATAAGCAGGTAAATTCCTTTTGCCCTGTTATTATCTGAATCTTACATCAATGTCATAGTAGTAGTCCTTCTTTTTGGTGGCCCACTCATAGTCTGCCCTCAGTGCCAGGTCATGTATCTTTGGACACTCACCAAGGTCCATCCTCTATAAGATAAAATTAGACCATCATCAGTTTATATCACAACCTTTATAATGCACAAAACACCATCACATCAACAGAGTACTTAAAGTGGTATCGAGTTATAACTGCCATATTTGATCAATCAAGGGAGACAGGTATGGGTAAATGATGAGTAGTGTACCTGTATTTAGACACATTTTTCCCCGCAAATAACTTACCACATACTTTGACTATTTTCCCACATGAAGGTATCTTTATCACACCCCAAGTTGAATCCACCATTAATAAAGCTGTCCATCATTCAGGAAGGCCCGATTTCCAATATTCTTAACAAATTCTGTGATTTTCCAGCTACTTTACCTGTCATATTCTTGAGTCACTTTGCATTTAGTCTTTTTCTCAATTACATTTGGATAGTTATAAGGTCCTTTTCCTTTAAAATTTCATCAGAATTTCACCACAACTAGGTGCCAAATTAAGTTATTTTTATTTACTTCCAAAATAATTAAGTCATATATAGGCCCGCGAGACATTGGCAGAAAATTCACTGGTTTATCATACGTACCAAATGGCAATGAACTGAGTGGGATAGAGTTAACAGGAGAGCAACTTACCGTGCTTGACAGAATATCATGAGGACAGCAGGCTAGCAGGAAACTCTTACATACCCGAGGATCATCAAACTTCACCTTGTACTTCGCGGTGTCCCCTAAAAATTTATCATTCACAAACTGATTAGCGTAGAACATACATAACAATACGATTTCTCCTTTACCAATGTTTGCACTTCCCAGATAGGCAATTCCTTCATTAATAAAATAAGAAAGAAGCTGGTATCACTTTGTCATTTAAGGCTTTAAAATCTCCAAAATTACTCATTTTATTCTCAAATCTTTAAATGTACATAAAGGCCATTCCAAAAATGGATGAAAATTCAGTCAAGGTTGACTATATATGCACCAAAATTGTGCTATTTAATTAACTGTTTCATGATATCTTGAAATAACTCCGAAATCACAATCTGAAAGCTTCTTTCTTATTCACACAACAAACACTGGTTGCTCCTAAATCACAAATACGATTTGTTTTATCATATTTCATTTAAAATTTGTAGCAATATCTCCCGAGAAAGATTGATATTTCCAAGTTCCTCACCCCCTCCCAAACCACAGCAATAACATAATCATTTGTCCCCTAAAAAGCATTCAATTTTGAGGAAATTATATGTTACAATTCAACAACATGTGAACAGAAAATCTTATCTTACAATTTAAAAGGAGCAAACAGCTATATGTTGCTACCATATATAACAATTTCATGATTGGACAGCAAGATGAAAGAAAATGGCATAAAAGCAGGGGAGTTTGTCAATCATGTACATCGAATTACAGGTGAACAATTTTAAATTTATCCACTAATATGTGTAACATAGCAGTGAATATGATTTGATGAAATGGGGAAAAAAAATCATGTTCAATTTCTATTAGCAGTGTAATAAGAAGCCATATTTCAATTAAAAAAATATACCAACAGTACACTGCACTACTCACAAGCTGTGTGCATCTGTTGGTATCACTCTGTATAGGACCAGATCTATCATCTTGGAGTCCATGCTGTACTAAACAGATTCCAAATGTTTAACCCTTTAATTTTCTCTCTCATAACATACACACTGCGAATGAGGAAGGTCCTTGACATGACATACTATTGGCTGGTTATTTCAAGCAATTCATGCCTTCCCTACTTGAAAGTAGAACCTGCGCTTCTGCATCTGAAAATAAATATCCACCATATCTCTTTCCCACAAAGAGTTCAAAATCATTTACCTTTTATGTTGAAATTATATTAAAGCAAATTGTAATTAAAAAGCTTTATATAATTGATATCCATTGTTAACTTACTCTTCCTCTTGTTACTTCTATTATAGTCACTGCAACAGCAGGAATTCATTTATTACAATTTCTGCATGCATCCTCTATTTTCGAACCTTGAAGGCACACTATATATCGCTATAATGTGAGAATTCGAATGTATCATCAGCAAAGCAGAGAATTAACAATGATCAAGAAAACTAGATATTTTTTAAATAACAAGAAAATCACAATTAATATCTGCAAGAGATCTAAGATTTGTCAACTCACGGCTTGGCCTTTCATCACCCTTTCATTTTTGACGGGGAAACAGCTCATGAAATAGCTCCCTTCAAAAACAGGGAATGAGATAATAAATACACTTTTCATGGTTTTCACATCACAAGGGAATCCAAGTATAACCAACAAAAACAAGCCAAAATGGAAATACCAGTGTGGAAATTTGTCAACAATTATGAAGTAAAGTTTTGCAAATAAACATGTTTGCTTGAGTGTTGTACTATTCAAAACAAGATATTGTATATATATAGTCCAGTAATACTGCTGAATACTAAATATTAGAATAATTTAAGATCATGATCCGACTCAAAAACACAACAAATCTGTCTGCAGCAAGCATTGCTTTAAAAAAGAACTAAAAAATCCCACAAGAGTTTAAAAAACCCCTCAATACCACCTTTTCCTTTTTTCATTTGAATGCAAAGTTCCATAGTTAAATTCGTTATTTAAGCTATTCTGTATCATATAAATATTATAATCCTGTTGATTTGAAGCAGGAATGCTCTTTTTATTTCTTAACCCAGTTCTTGATCAACCAAATATGGGGTCAGATCCAGATTTTGGATACAGTGCTTTGCCGACAGAGTAGCAAGAGCTATGTAAGGATATGAAGTGAAAGTACATGCAGGTTGCAGTGGCCGAATAGGATAAAAGTAGAGTTTAGACAGTAAATAATGTTTTGCTATCATCATTTTTTAAATGCTTTCTTTGAAATAATGTTTTTAATCATCATTTCTGGCGATAGGGTCTACTCCTCACTTGTATAACAGGAGCATTTTCTGGTCAAATCTACCGTCCGAGGCCATTTAAAAAGGCGGTCTAAGCAACTGTCTATTATTTATGTATTTTAGTACGTAAACGAAGCGTATTTTGTACACGGTGTGCGTAGAACGTTTGGGACGTCCCGTCCAGGTCGCTATTGTACTGAAACGAATATAACAATGTTCTTACGGATGTGTTGGAGCATTGCAATGGATTCAAGCACCCTTTATTGCATTAAGTAGGCTATATATGTTATACATATAAATCCTTAGGTGCCGGAAACCGGCGACGCAGTCACCACTTTCAACAGTTGTCCAAGTCCGGGTTAAAATCTACATCTAGTTATCTTGTCCTCGGCACCAGCACACAACTTACCATTCCTTGACGTGCCCATGAGCTCGTCTAACATTGCCCGCATTTGATCTTGGGCCGACATTTTGTATTTCGCTTGGTATTGCTTGGAATATGTTGCCAATAACACGTTTATTGCAAAAGACGAATGTAAAATGGCGACGTAGACAATACCCGGATGTAACGTGACGCGAAGCGCCATCTATTTTCCCGCAGAGGCTCCCAAAGGGATTTCAAACGACTACTTTTGTCTCTTCTGACGAGACTCATTCTTTGACGCGATATCATTGGTGGCACCAGCGACGTATACCGTCCCTGGTGGCACATAAGACAAATAATATTCCAGGAATGCAGATGAAGTAACCGAATCCAACCCATTGAATTAGAGGATGTAGAAAAATAATTGTTTAAAAAAAAAAGTGAACAGCACTCTGCCTAATGTCACGGGGACCTGCATGGTTCCTGTGCCAAATGCAGGATTCAGTATCCCAGATATTGATTACTCCATCTGATTTCGAGTTTGAGTTAAATATCGTCACGTGAGTTGTTCAGCACACTATTAAGGTTAAAAACATAGTAATAAAACTGATACTTAGTTTAAACACGGAATTAGATTATCTAAGTCCGTGGTTTATATTACTAAATAATAAAGCCATGTACTATATCAAGTCAGTGGCAGATTTGAATTGTACCAGAGACCTAAAAAGCAAAGTAGCCTTTTCCCTGTTTCACGCTTACAGTAACTAGCGCATGCTGTACACCTGTGATCGTGCAATCAGCACTTACCAGCTGGCACGTGCACTAACACGTACGTCGTGGTGACCGTACCAAATTCCGTCATCCGAAGGTCACATATAAAGGGATTATTATTGTACCTATACGGTGTTTTTTTTAAAGAATATAGTAAACGTAACAATAATTATCTAACTATTTATACATATATGATTATTATTTCAGAAATACTCAAAGTAAATAGCACCTGCACGTGCAATGCTCTTCGACTAAAAGCGTTCCTCCACTATATTGCAAAGTTAAAACAAACCCTGTGTAAGTTACCTTAAACGAATTACAGCTTTTTCTAGTAAGGGTACACGCGTGTATGTACATATGTAAACGTGATCCTTTGAATCCACGTTAATTGAGCGTTAAACATGACAACTTGTTCAACATCTAGAAATTATAACATCAGCTGTAACCTCGGCTTGTTCAAAAGGAAACAAGGCATCGCATGACAAATATAATTTTACGCACATAAGAACAGCCGAATTCAGTTCGAAACAACCGACTGTCTCCTTTTTAAAAACATAAAAGCACGGCACCCTATCAAACCTATAGTCAGTTATTTCACACTATGTTGAATTAAAATAATATGATGATCTAATCTTGTAGTCTTATATTTATGTGGTTTAATGGATACATGTATAATCAACATGCATGTTTATAATTAATAATATATCTAAACCCTCGATTCGAAAATGTTTACTCGCACGATGTGGCATTCCTTCTTTCTCAAGACCAATATTTACTCACCATCGATATATATATCTACCATAATACCTATCCCGAGTTTCCTCTGGCCTTGACATCAGACTTAGACATTTTGAAAGTTGTATGTCTGGTTAGAGATAGAATAATGTTCTATATCGCAGGTAAGAAATGGGATAAATAATAATAACAATATGTATAAGGTAAAAGGCAGACATTACACGTATATCTTTTATTTTTAATGAAGACACTGGAGGAAACTTTGGATTCTGCAACATCGGTAAAGTAGAAAATTTACAGATTTTGTACGAAAGCAACTATCAATTTCAGATTCGCGGAAAAAAATGAGAAAGAAGCCGACACCGTGCTGCACAGATCTAGCTAGTAAACGTTATTGAGTTATTATGGGATTTGACACCGATAAAGTAGACGGAAACACTTTGGTCACTCGGGGACGTGACCTGACGCTGACCCCCAGCCCTCTTGTTTTCCGAGGTCAGACAGTAATACCGAGCACAAAATCCATACTTGAGCATGAGAACGGTTTCATGAATACAGGCCCTGGACCCTACACAGCCTTGGTTTCAAGGTTGAGACAGATGTAATACAGTCGTTAACAAACACAATGTACTATAAGATATCTAAGTCCATGGATAAATATAGCGTACGGTTATCTACGCGTATCCCGACAGAATGACCAGTTCAGCATATGTATTCTTTCTTTGTTTTTATCTATGCACTGTACTGATAAACCGCAAGGTTTAAGGTAATAAAGAATGAATGAAATGTATGAGGTCGAAGAACGACGTTAGACCAAAATTAGGCAAACTGTTTTAACTACCTGTTTTCAGCATATTTTGATTTGACTACACCACTTTTGATTTAAAGGATAATATTGGGAGTTAAAGCCTATATATATTGTATGGTATTATGACCATTAAACCAAATGACCAATCTCTCTACGTCGGATATATACCTAGATAACGATACAAGTGGCGGGTTTTATTGTTATGGTAAGTTTATATACAGATAATAGATTTTTATGATAATTTTTATTTTTATTTTTTATGTTTAAATGATTTTTAACCAAAACTTTGAGTGTCGCCAAAGTCTACAGCAACCCCATATCAAACACCAGATTCTGTGGTTTAGGTATCGACTTTATTTTAATAGATTACCTTCCCGTAATAAACAGTTTTACTCACAGGGACATGATGATTTGTTACAGCTATATTTCGACCTTAACTAAGGTGCTCAATATTATTTTACACGTTATATATCATCAATTGGGGTGACATTTTTACCGAAAGTTGACCAGTACCCCTAAAACGTGTAGGTCCAAATATAGCTGTAACCAATTGTCAAGTCCCTGTGGTTTCATTAGTACGTGATGTTGTCATGCAATTTTTTAAATAGAGCGCATGCTACCCCGATGATTGATAATTTACATTGATGAGATTGGTGGCGGGGCATGTTCAAACCGTGATAGAGGTGTGAAACCCTAGTTGACTCTAAAATAACCGCCCACTCCCAGCAGCTAGGCCACGGCCATGTACCCAGTCGCTACCAGCTGGTATTCCTGCTCGAAATGCGCCCATCCCTCTTCCACACCATAAGTTGCTCTCCAGAGCAACATCAAAGTTGCTTTCATAATTGTTCTTTTTTTTGTCTCGGAGTGAATTTTATAAGTGTGTATGGCAGGGTTTCATTGTAAATTGATAACGGTAGCCTTCTATCTCCCCTTTCCTCAATCGGCAGAGCAGCTGTCTGACGGGGAAGCTGAGGGTCGCTGGTTCGATTTCATCAAATTGTATTGGACAAAACCAATTGAATGAGACAACAGGCTTAGCCAATACAAGTGTTCTCCTAAATAATAATAATATACAACATTTATATAGCGTCCTATATAATTTGTAAAATTACTCTAAAGCGTTTTACAACATATGGATAATAGTAATGGCAGTTCCAGAGGGGTTTTTTGGGCTTCAGGAAACCCCCCACCCTGAGAATTTTCTTTAAAAATCATGTATTTTCACCATTTTCCACAATTTTTTCCCCACATGGAACCCCCCCAGGAAATTTGGAACCCCCCCCCCCAGATAGGTCTCTGGATTCGCCACTGTAATGGTTATTATTGTGAAAACGAAAAAAATAACAAAGGCTTGCAATCACTTTTATACATTTAAGCAAGCAATGTGCACATTTACATAACGTCTTTGTAAAGATTCTAAAATGCAGACGTGAAGAGGTGAGTTTTGATGTCCCTCTTGAACTTTGCCAGGGTATAGATGGACAGAAAACAAGTCGAAGTGTCGCTGGTTCGATTCTCGGTGGAAACACAAGTTAAACTCCTTTTCCTAATTACTTTTATAAGGACGTTTCTAACTATAGTGACTTGTGCCAAATCCAATTTATATTTTAAAATATACCTAACGTGCCTTTGGAGATTAACAGCGGAAGCCTTCTGCTGTGATCTGTCTTATCATGACGTGTACATATCGTCGGTGGCCCTCAGGGTTGTATTCTCCTATGTGATATTCTGATTTATTAAATATATTTATTTTTGGATTGGTAAGCTAATTCCGTGGTATAAGCATACCGGGGACATGGATATTTTTGCACAAAAAGTTCCCTTTTGAACAAAGAATATTCATAATGCCGCGATACAAGATATATCCATACTCTATGCTATTGCCGCGATACAAGATATATTCATACTCTATGCTATTTCCGCGATACAAGATATATCCATATATGCTATTGATAGAAGTTTAATTATTAGTGCGGATTATCTGCTGCTACGAGTGTCAATTTCAAAGTAAACATGTATCATGGGTTTATATGTTAAAACTTAGGCCTACAGTTGTCCTTGATCAGAAGGCCGTGGTCAGTTACTTTACGTCTTAGATCTAATCTAATTCCTTTGTATGATGTTACTGCCTTGTAAATACAATTAACCATGAACTCACGGTAACTTTATTTTTGTACTCTTTCAATATTAAGTAAACACATTAAACTTCGATATATCTATGCCAATTCCCTACAAAAGTCACTCCTGTTCCACTCTTCCATCGGATGATGTGGTTTTGCCTTGAGTCGATTCCAACGACGTTTCTGATTGGTCCACTCCGATAACACCTCACTCATTTAAGACCATGCGACGTGTGTAACTCGAGGAACGTCAGACGAGTGCAGCGATATGTGGTAAAAACAACCACTTCAGTTACAACGCGGTATAACGAGAGAAGCAGACAACATCTGTGACAGGTAAAAACTTATCGTTAACTAACAATACCTTTATTGCGGAGTTAATATTTTAATTCAATTTATTATAAAAAATATTGCATGTTTTATTCATAGAGATATAATTAAGCTAACACATGTTCAAAAATTGAATCAAAATCTTCAACTAAATAATAGATATCTATATTATATATTTGATAATTTGACAGTAATATTGAATACAAAATTGACAATAATATGGAATACAAAATTAACATATCTTCAAATAACTGCACCTATCTTCAAAGAATTGAATACACGAACAAATAATTAAAGATATATAGATTCAATTAAATTGAAGACATATTCAATTTATTTGCAGATAGATTCAATCTAAATTGTATCTTTATATTATTGAAGATCGGTGTAATTAACTTTTAATTATTTCATGTAGAGCCAATTTAAATTTAAAAAAAAAAATGGTTTACAGAGACTATATATGTTTTACACTCTAAAAGATTGAATACTTTGAAAAAAATGCTTCCCTTCAAAGATGGTCGACAACATATATGCCATTTAAATATCAAGGGGTGGCATTTTATGGTAGCCTGATTTTCAGGTCCCTGTATGCACATGGAATTTTATTCAGACACACAGAAATACATCTAAAAAATCAAAAATTAATGATCAAAGATTGAGCATAAGGGGATCACTAACTTACATGTGAGGCAGTAGATAGAAAAACTATAATACATGTTCATGATATAGCCAAGATTATAAGTATGAAGATGTACTGTGGTAGGGTTTCTTCAGGACATTCCAATATGGCTGCTACACCAAACTGTACATCAAATTCAATAATGCATTCCGTTAGCATTAAACAGTCCCTGTCACAAAATAATCCTTCTCCAATATTTCATAATTGAGGTACATGCACACTAAATTTCAGGAAAAAAACCCATTCAATAACTGATGAAAACTTGCTTTTTATATGTTCATTTTCCAAGCTAAATACAAGTCACAATTCAGGAAAAAAAAACCCATTTAAACTTGTAAATATCATAAGGTTGGATGCCCATGGAGATGCATTTGTCGAGAAAAATGTGAGAAAATGCTTCAAATCTCAAGAATGATGACATGCATTTTGATTGGAAATTTTACAATAATTCATCAAGCTAACAAGCCTTTTGATATAAGTCAAGCCATATTACCTGAGCGGGACCTGTAGTGAATGGTGTAATGGTAAAATCTCACTTGCTTTGCATGCTTTTTCCAACCTCAGTCAGCCTTGTTTGCTTTGTGCTCAGTTGCGATTTATTCAGAGGAAATATATGCCATTATTCTGAAGATTTGACACACTTCTTACAATTTTCTCGACAAATGCATCTTAAAGCGCTTTATAGTAATTTTACAAATTATATAGGGCACTATATAAATGTTGTATGTTATTATTATTATTATTATCTCCATGGACATCCAACCTTATGCTATTTACAAGTTTAAATGGTTTTTTTTTCCTGAATTGTGACTTTTATTTAGCTTGGAAATGGACATTTAAAAAGTGATTTTTTCATCAGTTATTGAATGTTTTTTTTCTTCTGAAATTATGTTTGAGAAATATTGGAGGATTATTATTTTGTGACAGGGATTGTTTAATACTAACGGAATGCGTTATTGAATTTGATATACAGTTTGGTGTGGCAGCCATATTGGAATGTCCTTAATTCCTATCTTATTTTAAATATCAAATGTAAGTAGAGTGTAGTACAGTAAAACCTCATTATACTGCCACCTTCTGGCCTCTGTGATTTTGGCAGTATAACGAGTTTGGCGGTATATCAGGTTACCATTTTGAACCCTAGTGTTCACACACCAACTGAACTTATACTTAAAAAAAAAAAAATGAACTTCAGAATGTTTTTTTTCTCCAAAATTGTAATTTTATGTATCGAATTGATGAGCATGCAAAACATAACCACAATATGTATGGAAGTTTCACACAAAAATAATGTTTAATTAGTGCCGTGATATCCGACAATGTCAATGCATAATTTAGTAGGGGGCGGAGCTATGTTGACTTCCGTGTTGTCGTCGTCAATGTCCCGAGTTTGTGTGTGTGGTGACAGTTTTGTTAATGTCATTGTCTGACAACTTCATCGGGTTGAAAAACAACAAACAGTAAGTAATTGGGGGTATTTAATGAGGTCAAAATAGTGTGATTTTAACCATTTGTTTTGGGAATATGATGGCGGATGGCGGTATGCAGGTTTGGCGTAATACAGGTGCATTGACATTGGTGGAAATCTGTTCCGAGTATATTAATGGCGGTATGCGGGTTTGGCGGTTTAACGGGTGACATTACAAAGGGGTTTGCTGTTCTGCTTATGATATTATAATTATGAGAAATACAATGAGAAATGTATGGTACATATTTACTGCACAACAGTCAGACATGAGTGTGAAAAAGTCAAGTCTGCTCATGATATCATAATTATGAAAGTACAATGAGAAATGTATGGTTCATATTTACTGCACAACAGTCAGATATTGAGTGTGAAAAAGTAAGTCTGCTCATGATATCATAATTATGAAAGTGCTATTAGCTTTCGCAATGAGAAATGTATGGTACATATTTACTGCACAACAGTCAGATATTGAGTGTGAAAAAGTCAAGTCTGCTCATGATATTATAACTATGAATATTTACTGCACAACAGTCAGATATTGAGTACGAAAAAGTCAAGTCTGCTCATGATATCATAACTATGAAAGTACAATGAGAAATGTATGGTTCATATTTACTGCACAACAGTCAGATATTGAGGACGAAAAAGTCAAGTCTGCTCATGATATTATGAAAGTGCTATCAGCTTTCACAAATAGAAATGGGATTCTACATACTTGTACATTATATAAATTTTCAAGCCAATTATTCACAGGATCTCATTACGGATTAACACTTTTCATTTTACATGGGTGAATATTATGTAATAGCACATTTGTCCTTAGGTCAAAAGCTGAAATTTCCATCAAGACATTATTGTTGAAATGGAAATAATTAAAGTCAATTACTTGGCTTTTGTTGAACAATTAAATGTTACATATAAGTGTTGAATTCTTGAAGCTCTCGGCAAAGAAATGAGTGCCAAAGATGGTCATTGATTGTCATAACGCAGCACAAGCCAGCTAATTGATGTCATTGCACTATCTCAATGTTGCAATTTGGTTTAATAATGGCATTTAAGGATCGATACTGCTGCCTAAGGTTGTAACTGCAAATAACTAGAATAGCTAAAATTAATCGTTTCTGAAAAGAAATCTTGCACAACTATTATGAAAACATATAAAGATGAAATTTATAAACAAAAGTAAATTCTACAACAGTATTTTGAGAGTAACATACATTGGGACAAGGACAGGAATCAAACCCTAGACGTCTGATCACAATACAGTTACTCTTAGAACCACTGAGATACCCAATAAGGTGTTGTTAACTCACCAAGTTTCCTTACAGTTATATCACTTGTCTAATGAGTACTTGACAATATTTTAAGTTTTGAAAGTGTGATTTCTTGTGTGGAGCTAAGTAGTGAAAAAAACAGGTTCCTAAATATACCTCTTCTCAGGTTATTGTGGTCAATTTTGCAGGTCGACTTTCACAAATGCAGGCGACTTTGTAGATAAAGTGGCTTGTGCTAGAGTAAAATTTCTTTATAATCTAATTAACCCCTGTGACAAGTTGTAAAGTGTATATAATTGGGATCTGCCTGTATGTATGTACACACTTGTCCTTGACAATGTCATTGATCTACAGGCTTCAGTTCTTATTTGATTGTACGAGTTCATAAACATCATTTCTTGTACTGGTTAGCATTTGAAACTTTTTGGGTCAAAAACAATTCAAGGTCATGTTCTAGAATTCTGGTGTCATCGCTCTACAGTCATCAGTTCTAATTTCATTTTCAGGAAACTCATTACATATGTTCACAAACCAGTTTTTTTTCTTCATTGCCTGTACAACAGTACCTACTACGTACAGATACACAACAATACCTACTACAGACAGGTACACCACAGTACCTACTACATACAGATACACCACAGTATCTACTACATACAGGTACACCACAGTACCTACTCATACAGGTACACCACAGTACCTACTCAAACAGGTACACCACAGTACCTACTATACCTGCAAGCACACCACAGTACCTACTCATACAGGTATACCACAGTACCTACTCATACAGGTAACTATACCTGCAAGCACACCACAGTACCTGCTCATACAGGTACACCACAGTACCTACTTCATACAGGTACACCACAGTACCTACTATTCCTGCAAGCACACCACAGTACCTACTCATACAGGTACCCCACAGTACCTACTCAAACAGGTACAACACAATACCTACTATACCTGCAAGCACACCACAGTACCTGCTCATACAGGTACACCACAGTACCTACTTCATACAGGTACAGCACAGTACCTACTACAGACAGGTACACCACAGTACCTCCTTCATACAGGTACACCACAGTACCTACTATACATACAGGTACACCACAGAACCTACTCATACAGGTACACCACAATACAGATACACCACAGTACCTACTCATACAGATACACCACAGTACCTACTTCATACAGGTACACCACAGTACCTACTATACATAGAGGTACACCACAGTACCTACTATACCTACAAGTACACCACAGTACCTACTTCATACAGGTACACCACAGTACCTACTCATACAGATATACCACAGTACCTACTACATACAGGTACACCACAGTACCTACTATACATAGAGGTACACCACAGTACCTACTACATAGAGGTACACCACAGTACCTACTACATAGAGGTACACCACAGTACCTACTACATAGAGGTACACCACAGTACCTACTACAGACAGGTACACCACAGTACCTTCTACAGACAGGTACATCACAGTACCTACTCATACAGGTATACCACAGTACCTACTCATACAGATACACCACAGTACCCACTTCATACAGGTACACCACAGTACCTACTACAGACAGGCACACCACAGTACCTACTACATACAGGTACACCACAATACCTACTCATACAGATACACCACAGTACCTACTCATACAGGTATACCACAGTACCTAATCATACAGGACTACATACAGGTACACCACAGTACCTACTATACATACAGGTACACCACAGTACCTACTTCATACAGATACACACCACAGTACCTACTACATAGAGGTACACCACAGTACCTACTACAGACAGGTACACCACAGTACCTTCTACAGACAGGTACATCACAGTACCTACTCATACAGGTATACCACAGTACCTACTACAGACAGGTACAACACAGTACCTAATCATACAGGTATACCACAGTACCTACTCATACAGATACACCACAGTACCTACTATACCTACAAGTACACCACAGTACCTACTACAGACAGGTGCACCACAGTACCTACTTCATACAGATACACACCACAGTACCTACTACATAGAAGTACACCACAGTACCTACTACATAGAGGTACACCACAGTATCTACTACAGACAGGTACACCACAGTACCCACTATACATACAGGTACACCACAGTACCTACTCCATACAGGAACACCACAGTACCTACTCATACAGGTACACAACAGTACCTACTCAGACAGGTATACCACAGTACCTACTACATAGAGGTACACCACAGTACCTACTATGTACTGGTACACCACAGTACCTACTACATACAGGGACACCACATTACCTATTACAGACAGGTACACCACAGTACCTACTACAGAGAGGTACACCACAGTACCTACTTCATACAGATACACACCACAGTACCTACTACATAGAAGTACACCACAGTACCTACTACATAGAGGTACACCACAGTATCTACTACAGACAGGTCCACCACAGTACCTACTACAGACAGGTACACCACAGTACCTACTTCATACAGATACACCACAGTACCTACTATATACAGGGAAACCACAGTACCTACTACATACAGATACACCACAGTACCTACTCATACGGGTATCCCACAGTACCTACTACAGACAGGTACTCCACAGTACCTACTTCATACAGATACACCACAGCACCTACTATATACAGGGAAACCACAGTACCTACTACATACAGATACACCACAGTACCTACTCATACAGGTATACCACAGTACCCACTACATACAGGTATACCACAGTACCTACTACATAGAGGTACACCACAGTACCTACTCATACAGATACACCATAGTACCTACTACATACAGGTACACCACAGTACCTACTACATACAGATATAACACAGTACCTACTACAGACAGGTACACCACACAGGTACACCACAATACAGATACACCACAGTACCTACTCATACAGATACACCACAGTACCTACTCATACAGGTATACCACAGTACCTACTACATAGAGGTACACCACAGTACCTACTACATACAGGTATGCCACAGTACCTACTACATACAGGTACACCACAGTACCTACTCATACAGATATACCACAGTACCTACTACAGACAGGAACACCACAGAACCTACTACATACAGATACACCACAGTACCTACTCATACAGATACACCACAGTACCTACTCATACAGATACACCACAGTACCTACTCATACAGATACACCACAGTACCTACTCATACAGATACACCACAGTACCTACTCATACAGATACACCACAGTACCTACTCATACAGGTACACCACAGTACCTACTACATACAGATACACCACAGTACCTACTCATACAGGTATACCACAGTACCTACTCATACAGGTACACCACAGTACCTACAACATACAGATATACCACAGTACCTACTACAGACAGGTACACCACAGTACCTACTACATACAGATACACCTCAGTACCTACTACAGACGGGTACACCACAGTACCTACTACATACAGGTACACCACAGTACCTACTACAGACAGGTACACCACAGTACCTACTACATACAGATACACCACAGTACCTACTACATACAGGTACACCACAGTACCTACTCATACAGATATACCACAGTACCTACTACATACAGGTACACCACACCAAAGTTTGATATTGCATGTATCCAGAATCAGGATAACTGCTTACTGTATTGATTCTGCAATAAGCCCACAGGCCAACACATGATCTCTTGACTAAAAGTTGGGGGATGGGCTTATTACAAGACAATGAAAAAGCTTTTGTTGGCATTTCTTCCTTATTGTTTAGCATGCGCTTATTGCCAGATATATATGGTAAATATTTCAGGATGAGTTACTTTCCCTGGTCAGGGATTGCTATCGCACAATTACTATTGATATGTAAGAGTAATTTATAGAGTAAGACAGATTTTTTTGATTTTTCTTATAGGATACATAAGACAGACATATTTGATGTTGGAGAAGCTGTAGGTACAATGCCTGCCAGACAACTTGACAGCCCTCTCCCCATAGACAATGGGGCGGCCCCAGGTCTGACGACGGAGGATCCCATTCTGGTTGGTCAACTGGACAGCTGTGACACTGATACACCACCCTCAGTGGTTATCAGTGGGATATCATGCCGTCTTCCCCAGTCCAATAACATGGAAGAGTTCAAACAAAATCTGATGACTGGAGTTGACATGGTAACAGAAGATGGAAGACGTTGGCAACCAGGTGAGAAAAAGAACAGATTTAAAAACCTGTAATTTATTGCAACATGTGCATATCAAGCTACTGACAAATCATTTGTGAAAAATTGTAATAAGGGATATCAACACATTTTTCACTTACATAATAAAAAAACTGTTGCTTATCATTTTCTATGACCGAGAGTTGTAAAAAAATATTTAGAATGCAGAACTATTGTCATGTTTCCTCGAAATATACTTTTGGTGTGTAGATGAGCAAGGAGATCCTGTATACATTTCATGCAGGCATGGGCTTCTGTAAAATTTCGGAAGAAGTTAGAATTTTTATTTTGTGCCTTGACAATACACCAAACAAACCACCACAAGCTCCAGGGTCCATATTCATGTTTTCATGCTCAAACTCATATGTTCTCAAGCCCAATTTCTTGTTCCAGTGGTAAATGAATAAAAAGTCACATTTTTAACAAAAACTGAGCTGCATCTGTTATCAGGTGAGTTTCTCCTAAAGCTAACATCCCATAAACTTATCTTGGTCATAATCATTGTTTTCTATTCACTTTTATTCATAGGGTTGTATGGATTACCAAAGAGAAATGGAAAGCTGGTGGATTTGAGCAAATTTGATGCAGCATTTTTTGGTGTAAGTCCTAAACAGGCTGATATGATGGACCCACAGGTGAGGATGCTGCTTGAAGTTGCATATGAAGCTATTAGTGATTCAGGTGAGTGTTTATGAATTCTGCTTACATGTATTTTGTCTTTATATATCTGGAAATGACCAGTAGAATCTTTTAGAAGGACGATTGTGAGTGACTGAATAGGGGAATGAAATGAGACTCAATCTCTTGAAAAGTTCATATTACTATGAGTTGTCTCCCCTAATGCCAACACTTTGCATCAGATGCGAGTTGGGCCTCAATCAGTCTCTGCCATGTCTCTTACACTCATTACAACATTTGGGATCTTTATATTTTCTCTTTACTTTTTAACAACCTTTTCACCCTAAATGCCTTGCTAGACAAAAACCCAACTTTAGGCCTTAATACGAACGTTAGCCCAAGTGGGGAAAGCAGTAGGTTCTGTCCCCAGGTCAAGACAAACAAAAGTCCTTCAAAAATGGTAGTTATTCCCTGCTAAACATTCGGCATTCAGGGTAATGCTACAAATGGATTACCAATTGTGAGTATGATGTGACCTGGTGGAATGCTATGTTTGACGCCTTAAGCATGGTGTTACAATAAGGCAGCACTCTACACTCAGCATCAAATCAGCTGTGCTTTCACAATTAAGGAGGCAGCTGAATTACATCAACGTATTGCCTCCAGCGTACAGACACATATGTATATACACATGTACTCATTCATTACACACTTAGTCTCGCACTATCTCCTCATGGAGGTTTGAGGACGGCACCTCAGCTTCTGAAACTAATAAGAATATGGAGGAAGCTTATTCACATGTGATCTGTTCAGAGTCGGGATGTAAAGAGACATCTAAACGTCGCACTACTTCATTGCCAAATTATTTTAGAAATTTGATATGTTTCTTTCATATTTGTCAAAAGTTTGTGCTTGCATGGACAAATTTCTAGTATTGAGTTTTCCGTTTTGCTAATGAATTTTGGAATTTGTTTCAAATTTTACAAAAGAATTTCTTTTTTTACACTTTTTATGAAGTTAATGGAATAAATGTACTAATGTGAGTTGTCCCCCCTGACAGGTGTGGATCCCAGCAGTGTGCGGGGCACCAGGACAGGAGTATTTATAGGTGCCAGTACATCAGAGTTCCATGAAGGCGTGACTTTGGACCCAGAGACAACACAGGGGTACAGTATGACAGGCTGTACCAAGTCTATGTTTGCTAACAGACTCTCCTTCTTCTTTGATTTCAAAGGTTTGTATACTTCAAGTTGTCAACTTTTCTGTGTCAAGGGAAACTATCTAACAAAAATTATGCCATTGGCATATTCAATATTTCTTTCCCCTGTCGGAAAACAGTCATGTGTTATTACCTGGACATTTAATTACATCCAGATAATATGACTTGCATCATTGATGCATGCACAATTTACTAGTCCATGTTTAGAGGTCAGAGTTTGAAGTTGAAGGTCATAATGTAACATACAAGTTAAAGAAATAAAGGGCTTTTTAACAGATCCATTTATTACTCTGCTTTGAATCACAGACAGGTTGTCAATTATGAGTTTATGTATACATATTACAGGGCCAAGTTACACAGTTGATACAGCTTGCTCATCCAGCCTGCTGGCCCTGGACCAAGCATTACAAGCCATCAGAGTTGGTCAGTGTGATGCTGCCATTGTTGGAGGGTCAAGTATTATACTGAAGCCACTGACTTCATTACAATTTCAAAAGCTAGGCATGCTTTCTCCAGAGGGAACTTGCAAATCCTTTGATGCCGAAGGTAAATACAATTTTCCAGTATTTAAACCCTTAAGCAGAATAAAAAAAGAAAAACATCCTGTGGAAGTCTGTGTAATTGTGTGGTAACTTTGAGTGTTGCTCTGTTGTAGGTAATGGCTACTGTAGGAGTGAGGGTATAGTGGTGGTCTATCTTCAGAAGGAGAAGTCAGCTCTTCGTTTGTACAGTCGACTTATCCACTCCAAAACCAACTGTGATGGTGGCAAAGATCAAGGTGAGTGCAGGGATGTGATTCTTTCTCTTTTCAGGGGATTTTTGTATTTTTCCCATAATTTGAAATGCTGTTTATTTGTAAAGAAACATTTCTGAAAAATTGAAGATTCTAAGGGGGATGAGGTTTGTTCCTGACCTTTTTCACTTTTATGTCATTCACATTCAGTTTTCTATTCACATGATAAATAATGCTTTGCTTTTCTTTGTCACATTATAATATATCTAACTTTGTTCACTGAATAAATAAAACTGCAGTAAAAAACAAATGTACATCAATATGTTATTAATATAACTATCAATAATACCCATTTTAGGGGAAATAGAGGTAAAACATTTACAATCCTTCTACCATAGGGATTAAGGGAATTTATCCTTATTTAGTCTGGAGCATCCTTGGGCCATAGGGGTGGAGCTCTGTTTGAAGTTTGTTCTCGCTATATCTCAAGTACTGGAGGGATCTTTCTGAAATTTCATATGTACTTACAGCACCTACCATGGAGTGGTATATCTTTACTTCATACCAATTATTTTAAACATATTCAGGTGAGCGATACAGGCCCTCAGGGCCTCTTGTTCATGGAATAATTACTTTCTTTTAAAAAAAGATGGAAAACCAGTTGAAGTCCATTTTTTTTTTACAGGTATCACATTTCCATCGGGTGCAATACAGAAGTCCCTCATACAGGATGTGTACAGTGAGGCATGTGTATGTCCATCAACTGTGGCCTATGTGGAGGCGCATGGTACGGGCACCAAGGCAGGCGACCCACAGGAACTCAATACTATCACAGATGTGTTCTGTAAAGGGCGTGACACCCCACTTCCCATTGGCTCCATAAAATCTAACATGGGGCATGCAGAACCAGCTTCAGGTAAATCTAGCAGCTTCTTACTGTAGGTTAGTCTTAACACTGCTCATTGCATCATTTCTTTCAAAACAGAGTTCATCTTAATATTGATCAATGTATTAGCTTGAAAACCTATTATCATATCTCAACAAATATTGTTAAGATTCTTTAGTACCATTTTATACCTCAACAAACACTATAATAAATTCAACAGTATATACTGTAAACATCTCATTTACTTGTATACTTCAGTTGTCACTATTAATAGTGCATTAAATAATAGTTATTGAAAGAGCTAGAATTTTAACTTGCAGTGGGAACAATGGAACAATGATTGATATCTATCCCTAGTTCAGATGCAGGTATGCTACAATAAGCATTTATGAATAATCAGACTCAGTCTTTTATATGAGAAATTGTACATCATTGAATAATATGACTGCTTACAATTGCTGACAAACAAATATTCTAATTTCTTTTTCTAGTTTTCTGTATTCTAATTTTCTGTTGCTAGGCCTTGCTGCCGTTGCTAAGGTGATAGTTGGTATGGAAGAGGGTGTCCTTCCTGCGAATCTCCATTACAACTCGCCAAACACAGACATCCCAGGTCTGGTTGACGGCCGCTTGCAAGTAGTCACCACCAACAAAAAGTGGGACGGAGGTTTTGTAGGGGTGAACTCTTTTGGATTTGGAGGTGCTAATGTCCATGCCTTATTGGAATCTAATACAAAGTCTGATACAAACAATTATTGTAGAAATGACTGTACACGAGTATTTCTGTATTCTGCTCGAACAGAAGATGGTGTGAGATCAGTGATGGAAAAAGCAAAGGAGCACAGCAAAAACATGGAGTTACATACATTGCTAAATGAGACAGCAAAGAATGGACCACACAAGTACAGGGGCTTCAGTGTAATCAACACAGAAAACACTCTACAAGAAATTCAGGTTTGGACTTTCTCTTTAGGATATAAGTTTTGACAATGGCTTCTCAAAACATTTGTTACCTGGGGTATTATGTATTGCTGTTTCTTGTTAATACAATCAAACCTGTATTAATTAAGAGACCACCCCTGAAAAGTCCAAAATGTGGTCTCTTAACACAGATGTTCTTTACACAAGGGGTCTCTTATACAGGTGTTTTCTTCTCTTAATTAACACAGGTGGTCTCTTAATACAGGTGTTTTTTTGGATGCTGTGTACAGCATTCATAGCGGTCCTCGCCAAGCCTGGGCAAATCAAAACCAAACAACATACTTTCTTCTTCCGCGGAAGATCTTTAAATGCTGTGTTGATTATTTCATGGTATGATTAATGCTATAAAATGATGAAATACATATGAAAACGATCAATAAATCAAAGAAAAAATGTTAAAAATATACGAATAGGTATTTTCAGTGAGCATCATGAACTATATCAATCTCGGATTACTACGCTTTTTGGACCGAATAATTTCATCAAAAAAAACCCAACAACACTTCATCTCCTTCCGCGAAAGATCTTCAGATAATGTGTTCATTTTTTCATGATATGATCAATGCTATGATATGGTGAAATATATCTGTTTAAGACAAAAAAATCAAAGAAAATATGTAAAGATCTTTAACAGTGGCGTTTTTAATCAGTTAAAGTTCCGAACTATATTTGGTTCAAATTACTACGCCTCGTGTGTGTGTAAGAGTTTTCTCCCCTTGTCCATCATTGCGTAGTTTCATGCTCGCGACTTGTTGAACGACTGTTTGATAACTGTCCTTGTTAAAGTAGGCTTCGTGTTTTCTTTGTCTCAATGGAAAGTCTCCAAGTGAAAGAGAATGTTGACTTATACTAAAGTAGCCGTCAGCAGCTGTGCCTAACGAGTTTATAGATAGCTTCCCAATGCGTCGGCACCTGTGCCCAACGAGTTTGTAGATAGCTTCCAAATACAGTCTCTAGATAATGGCCCAATTAGTATAATACAAGAGCTTCGTAAATATAGCATATTGAACATCAAAAATTAAAACCGTATATACATATTATTCACATTAACCAGAAACTGAATAATTATATAGGTCTTTAACCTTCGTTACAATATCGAGAAGGAGAGATACACAAGGGCATTGCATAAGTCCGTGATTACACGCACTGGAAATAATACAATCTCGTTTTAATTTTTTGTATAATTAATCATGATAATAACAAATTGTAATAATAATATCATAATTATTTATTTATATTATCTATATAACATTTTTATTTTTTTTATTTTTATTTAATCGTAAACTTTCCCATAATCTTATGGGACAATTTTGGTTTGCAGGATTGTCTGGTCAAGGTCACACTGTTACTATTTTTAAAAAGATCATTGTCTGCACTTGAAGGATTTCCATCGATTTGAAACACTAATTAAGGACCATAATATCAGACAAGTTTCAATTGTTTTAGCAATACTCTGCTTGTTATATAATTTTTTATTGAAAATTATGATTAAGGGATGGGCTATTATGACCCTCACTCAACATGTTCTTTATTATTTACTGCCATTCTTAACTGATATACCACCTCCTTTATTCCATTATTTGAATCCTTCATACACAGCATCCATGAGTCCTCTCGGCACTTTGATTAACACAGGTTGTCTCATTATTCAACATCCTTTCAATGTTATTTTCAACATGACACTATTTATACCTATAGAGAACAGGATAATAAGAAGGTTTTTAATCTATGATAAAAAAACTAAGCTTTAATAGCTGAAAACCCCCCCACAATTCCTCATAATTTTCCTACTCACGCCAGGGATTTATACCCATTCCTTATTGATAACAGGCCCCCATATTTCCCAATTTGTCGGATAAAAAACCAAATCTTGAAAAAAAGAAATGTCTTTTAATTTCTGAACTACATCATCAACAATACATTTTCCAAGTTATAAAACAATTACAAAATGCACTCCCTTTTTCTCGAAATAAATCTTTTCAAACAATCAGTGTACCGGGGAAAAGCAAACCTTCCACTAGTGCTCATATATTCCTATCAAACCTAAGTAAATGAAAAAAACACTTTTAATTCCAAGGCGATATATTTGTGATCACATAGTTTGGACAGATGGCATATTTAGGCTTGATTTGAGATCTGCAATAACCTTTTTACCTTTTTCTGTTTTTTCTTCACAGTCGTGTGATGCCACAGATCGTCCAGTCTGGTTTGTGTTCACTGGTATGGGGGCACAGTGGCATGGAATGGGACGCCAGATGATGGAAATTGAGTTATTCAAGAAGTCCATCCTGAAGTCTGATGCAGTGTTACGTCCTCATGGCATGTATTTATACGATCTCCTGATGACGGGGAAGGAGACTGTGTATGAGGACACCCTTAACTGCTTTGTGGCTAATGCAGCTATTCAGGTGAGTGAACTAATACCTCATAACTGGTCATTTGAGATAATTTTGTGTTTGCGTTTCAATTCAACCTAACATCAAATCAAAATTTGTTCAGATTTATTACTTTTTATTGTTTCGGTATGGAATTTCATGCATCACAATAATGACCTCTAAATATTAGTCTAAATGCTTATAACCTAAATCTCAGTAACCTGTAAAATCCAAAACCTATCCCTCCACCCTAGATCAATCAGATTCTAAAACTTGTATGAGTCAAACCTCTATGTCGCACTATAATGCAGTTCTATGTGAATTGAACCTGTGTAATAAAAAACTCGGACTGGAAAAATATCATTGTCTTCAGTTTCAGTTTAATTTCTCTTCACGTGTCTCTTTTCAGATTGCCCTTGTTGATCTCCTGTTCAAAATTGGAATTAAGCCTGATGGTATGTTGGGTCATTCTACGGGAGAATTGGCGTGTGGCTATGCGGACGGATCTCTCACCGCAGAGGAAACAATTTTGGCCGCGTATTGGCGAGGACGCTGTATAAAAGAAGCCAAACTGCCACATGGGAGCATGGCTGCTGTAGGTAAGTACGAATGCTTAAATTCTTTTGTTTTTTTGTTTTTTTTAGTATTGCTTATTGAGTCCCTGTCCGTTCAGGGGAATATAGTGGTACCTGTTTGTCCAAGATTACCTATGTGAAATCAACTTCCTCCACAGTTTTAGTTGGATTCACTTCAAATTTGGTACATAGCATCAGTATAACATCAGAATATGCACCTCTCTTTTTTCAGTTTTCTCCCCTTTTCGGGGAGTTATGTCCCTATATGCAATTTGTTCAAATGTATTTGAAGGCATTTACTTTTTCGAATTTTGAATTGATGAGAAATTTTGTATGATCTGTTTACTCAGGTGGTGGACTATAACTGTGGTATCTTGGTAACTACATCAGCTTTGTTACCTAAATTGTAAAATTCCTTGATTACTGGAGCAATTTTGAATAGAAAGGAATGTTTGCTAGATAGTGAGATAACAGTTGGACAGTGGGTAAGTGCATGGTGGCTGGCCATGGGTAGTTGTACAACCTGATTAGTGATGGCTGCTTATGTTATAAGTGGAACAACCGTATTAGTGGTGGCTAGATAGTGAAAATGTGATAAGTAGTGGTTCAATAACAAGGCTCAACTACATATTCTATTATTGTCCCCAGGTCTGAGTTGGGATGAGTGCTTGAAGATGTGCCCTCCTGGGGTTGTACCTGCCTGCCATAATGCTAAGGACACAGTCACAGTCTCTGGACCCGCTGAAGCTGTTCAGCAGTTTGTGGAGGAACTCAAAGCTAAAGAAATATTTGCTAAGTTGGTGAAGACCTCTGGTGTAGCATTTCATTCCCATTACATGGCCGCCATTGCCGGCAGTCTCAAATCAGCTTTGTCAAGGGTAAGGAAACGCTTTAAGATTATACTGAAAGACCTGTATTACAAGAATAAAATATATCAACATTTCACTAAAAGAAACTATCATAATTTTCTACAATATTAGTGATTAGCTGTAATCAGCTGGAATATTATTTTACAGGTTAGATGTAATTGTTTGTCAGTGTCATATTTATTACAATATGTAGATAGAAAGATGAGGCCTTTTAATAGTTGAATCTGTAAACAAAGATAAAATTACTCTTTCATGCCCAGGGGTGTATGATAGAGAAATTCCACCCAAGGGGTTTCCAATGGGTAAAATACAAGGCTTTACCGAGGGTTTTGCACCAATTCGCAAATCCCAATCTTTTCTTTCACCAGTATTCCATCATGGTATCATAAATCATGGTATCGGAATCTTCCCAATTTTGTGATGTCTGCATGCACAAGAAATGGAGTTTAACATAGAAATTTCTTACACTCCTTTCTTACTCTAGACAGCTCTGTAATATACACACAGGATCGAGAGAGAAAATGTCTCTCATAAAAATAAAGGAATGTATTTTTGAGGAGTCCTATCAACCAATTATTAAACCTCTAACCATCATGGGCAGGTGATTGTGCCGAAGGAGAGGGGAAAGACTTGGATTAGTTCTTCAATTCCTGAGGCCCAATGGGGGACTGAACTGGCCAAGTACGCATCTGCCGAGTACCACGTCAACAACCTGGTGAGTCCAGTGCTGTTCCAGGAGGCACTGAGACATGTCCCAGGCAATGCGGTCATTATTGAAATCGCCCCACATTGTCTGTTACAAGCCATCCTGAAGAAGTCATTTGGGTCAACTTGTAGCATTTTAGGATTGATGAAAAGAGGACACCCAAACAATACAGAGTATTTCTACTCCACCTTGGGAAGGTATGCAACAGTCCCTGCCAATATTACTATCTAACACATGTAACACCTGCATTTTTTTAAAATAATAAAAATGTGTTCTCAAATACTTTGCTCTAAAATGCTTATGGTAAACATATTGTTGGGTTTCTTGAAGGTTGAAAATAAATCAGAAAATATTTTTTTATGTTTCCTGATCAAATTGATACATTTTCCCAATAAAAACCTAGCATTATAGACTGAATATAGTTAACAAGTGGGTTTAAACCACTGTAAACTTTGATTTATATAATTTTTCATAATTTTTGTTTATAAATTTACATACATGCTGGTTCAAGTCACGGCACAGCACTGTGTTGTATCTGAGCAAGATACTTTACTCCGCTTGTTCCAGTCTACTCAGCTGTAAATGAGTATGTGGTTGGGCAGTGCTAGAATTGTTGTATGCTAGCTGTTAGCACTATGACACTTAAACGGTACAATAATTTTCTAAGAAGACGTAACCAGCAACATTAAAAGCTCAGGAGTGATTGGTCTACTCATTTCTTTTCACAGGTGCTACCTTCAAGGCATCAACTTCAATACCCTGAAGCTATACCCGGAGGTTTCTTTCCCAGTGTCCCGAGGCACTCCGATGATCTCCCCTATGATAAAGTGGGATCACTCTACCAACTGGTTTGTACCCAAGTCAGAGGACTTCTTAGGAGCAAGTGGTGGCAGGTCGGGAGCCAGTTTTGAGATTGACATTTCACCTGATTCACCTGATAATTACCTGGTTGGTCACATGATAGACGGGCGTGTCCTGTTTCCTGCCACAGGATACCTGGTGCTGGCCTGGAAGACCCTCGCCAAACAAAAGGGACAGATGTACCAAGAGATGGCTGTCTTGTTTGAGGACATTAATATTCACAAGGCTACCATCTTACCAGACAGTGGTAAGTAACATAGTTTCAAGAACTGCTATTCATTGGACCTTTCTTTAGCTATAATTGCACTGAAAGTAAGGTTAGGGACTATCTTATAATAAAGCTATCAATAACAAAAAACTTTGAACTTTGCCTACATACAGCTATCATTTACAGTAGGCTTTGAGTTTGTCTGTATCTATAAGTGTAAGTAAGTTTTTTGTGCATTCATAGCCATTAGTGAAGTTGCCTTTACACTTATATATATATATATATATAGCTGTTGGTCAAGTGAAGCTTACATGTCTGCAGATATTTCCTTTAATAACAGACTGTTTTGGGATTAACTTTCTAATCACAATTACTTTTACCCCATTTCAAATGTTTTGATTTCATTTTAGGCAAAGTTAAACTTGATGTAACGATCATGGAGACGACTGGCGAATTTGAAATAAGTGAAAATGGCACATTAACAGTTAGTGGTCGGGTCACTACTCCAGAAGAGACCAATGAAATGACAGAAAGTGCACCATGTGACCATCAAATAACCGGCCCAGTGCTGACATCCTCGGACATCTACAAGGAACTTCGACTGAGAGGATACGACTATGGACCTGATTTTAGGGGAATCCTTCAAGCAGACCTCAATGGTAAAATCATTATTTAGCATAAATATACGAGGAACTGTTATCAGTCATTGTAAAAATATGTCGTTACTGTAGCTTTTATTTAATGTACAATGTTACAGGTAAACAAAAGGTTGAATGCAAGGGCTGACATTGACACTAAACTGGCAATAATAATAGTACAATAACATAATAAATGTCTCATGATTACTTTGTCCCACATACAATAAATATATAATCCTGCAGCAAGAATCAGTGCCTTATCTGACAACAATCGGGGATGGGACACCTGTGTATATATATATATATATATCACCTGTATCACCACTTGCTGGTACGGAGGGACAGTTGTTATGGACTGGTAGCTGGGTTTCCTACCTGGACACTATGCTACAAATGTCTGTGCTGCACATGTCCGGTGGTGCCCTGCGCCTTCCCACGCGTATCCGGTCCCTAGCTATAGACCCCATGATGCACAACAGAGCTGTTTATCAAACACATGATAGTCACCAAGGTAAGTCTTACATGAACAGTCTATTGGACACAAAACAGTTACATAGGTAACACCTAACAGTGTACCAGACTAATGACAGTTACCTAACAGTGTATCGGACACTTGCTGGGTACCTAGGTAACACCTAACAGTGTATCGGACACTTGCTGGGTACCTAGGTAACACCTAACAGTGTATCGGACACTTGCTGGGTACCTAGGTAACACCTAACAGTGTATCGGACACTTGCTGGGTACCTAGGTAACACCTAANTGGACACTTGCTGGGTACCTAGGTAACGCCTAACAGTGTATCAGACACTTGCTGGGTACCTATGAAACACCTAATAGTGTATCGGACACGTGCTTGATACCGATGTAACATCTGACAGTGTATCGGACACTTGCTGGGTACCTATGTAACACCTAACAGTGTATCAGACACTTGCTGGGTACCTATGTAACACCTAACAGTGTATCAGACACTTGCTGGATACCGATGTAACACCTAACAGTGTATCAGACACGTGCTTGATACCGATGTAACATCTAACAGTGTATCGGACACTTGCTGGGGACCTAGGCAACACCTAACAGTGTATCGGACACTTGCTGGGTACAGATGTAACACCTAACAGTGTATCGGACACTTGCTTGGTACCGATGTAACACCTAACAGTGTATCAGACACGTGCTTGATACCGATGTAACACCTAACAGTGTATCAGACACTTACTGGATACCGATGTAACACCTAACAGGGTATCAGACACGTGCTTGATACCGATGTAACACCTAACAGTGTATCAGACACTTACTGGATACCGATGTAACACCTAACAGGGTATCAGACACGTGCTTGATACCGATGTAACATCTAACAGTGTATCGGACACTTGATGGGTACCCATGTAACACCTAACAGTGTATCAGACACTTACTGGATACCGATGTAACACCTAACAGGGTATCAGACACGTGCTTGATACCGATGTAACATCTGACAGTGTATCGGACACTTGCTGGGTACCTAGGTACCACCTAACAGTGTATCGGCCACTTGCTGGGTACCTAGGTAACACCTAACAGTGTATCAGACACTTGCTGGGCACCTAGGTAACACCTAACAGTGTATCTGACACTTGCTGGGGACCGATGTAACATCTAACAGTGTATCGGACACTTTCTGGGTACCGATGTAACACCTAACAGTGTATCGGACACTTGCTGGGGACCTAGGCAACACCTAACAGTGTATCGGACACTTGCTTGATACCGATGTAACATCTAACAGTGTATCGGACACTTGCTGGGTATCGATGTAACACCTAACAGTGTATCGGACACTTGCTGGGTACCTATGAAACACCTAACAGTGTATCAGACTCGTGAAAGTAACCAATTATTCACAATGGGACTTGTGTAACAAGATGGGGATATACAATTGGCCAGATTTGGATTTGATACTCCATTGCCTAAACTCTTGATGAACTCTTCATACATTGTATAATCAGTCATGGCAGTAAACATTCAGTTTCTCTATCATCCCAGTACCAGGGAAGATTCTGTTCATACAGGTTTTTGGATTATATAGGGTTCAGTAAGGACAGGTTTCTTTGTAAAGTATTTAGGTGTATATTGTATATTAGTAGATTATTGAATCAATCTATGTTAATATTCATTATAAAATGCGGAAAGGATTTATAATAAACCAGTCAACAGATCTTTGATATGTCTATTTTTTTGACCTTTCATTGTATTTCCACACAGTGACAAGGGTTTTAGTGGATGAATACACAGATTCCTGTGTAGCAGGTGGGGTGGAGATACATGGTCTACATGCAACAGTGGCCCCACGTCACCAGCAGCGTCAGACATCGCCAATCCTAGAAGAGTTCAAATTTGTTCCCTACATCAAGAACAGTCCCCCTAGTAATGATTTGAAGGAATACCTGGCAGTATGCAATGCATACGTTTGTGATGAACTTTCTAAGCTACTTGCTAGTGATGCCTCTCTGGACAGAAACATGATCAAATGCTTGTGTTCTCAGGCTGATTTCAACAGAACAATTCTGAGTCAGGTTCCTACCTGGCTATCAAATTCAGGGACAGAACATCTTGCAAGGCTACAAGAAGTTTTCAACATTCCAGCAGACAACCAATATTCCACGAATGTAGAGAAAGTTTACAACAGTTGGGAGAGTTGTTACTGCACAAAAGATTTGATTGTGGAAAATATGTCTGCACCACCAACACTTAAGCCCTGCATGGATATAGTGGTGGAGAATGTGTTGTCCTCCAAGGTGAGGGTAGTGGAACTGATGGGGAAAGATACACGCAGTATGTCCGGGGACGTCCTAACCCTCCTCTCCACCCATCCCTTAGTACACGTAGACTACACAGTTTGCTCAAAGAAACTTCAAGAAAACGATGAACAACATGACAGGAAGGACCAAGTTTCACAAGTGGAATGGAATGCAGAAACTGATGTGCCTGGAAACCTAAAGAATAGCCATCTTGTGATAGCTAGAAACTTTCTCCACAAACACGCAAACATATCAATGGCAATTCAAAACATTTCGAGTCTCCTAAAAGATGATGGGTTCCTTATGATACAAGAAACCACAGAGAACTTTTTGTCGGCCTTTGCCATGGAATACCTTGGCCAGCATCATTGTGATGTTGTAGATACATCCCAGCAGCGCAAGTGTTTGTACTACCTGGACGAGAACCAATGGGAAGCCATGTTTCAGAAGGAAGGATTTGAAGTTGTGTTTAGGAGAACGGACAATTTTCAGTCAACGTTATTTCTATTGAGGAAGTGTGCAGTTAATTCACAAGAAACAAGATCTCAAGAAATTCTTAATCTTGAAGGAACGGGTTGTGAATGGGTGGAGGAATTGAAAACCAAGGTGTCAAAGTACCAGGGACAACCAAAGGGAGATAATTTGTGGCTGACAGTGGATGAGACAAGACACAGTGGAATATTGGGGCTTGTGAATTGTCTGAGACAGGAACCTGGAGGAGAGAGGATCAGGCAAGTTTATTAATAATTTACTGAATACCCTACACTAGGGTGCCACTTGATGGTTGTCTACAGCTTTATTGAACTAGGCTGACATTTGATGGTCATATATAAGTCTCATATAGACTGCAAATCATAACCATTTATAGCTACAATAAATTAGGATGTTGCCTAGTGGTCAGTTATAGCTAAATTGAACACAGCTTCCACCTGGTGGCTCTTTGAATGTTGTAAAATCTTTCATTTATTTCAGGGTAGAAATGCTGTACAAGTCATTTATTGGTGAAAAGAAATAAAGAATAGAATAAAGAACTGTGAAACAGTCATTTATTGCTCATGAGAAATGAAAATATTGAGACTATACCCATGTAATCAACAACATTAGCTCATTGGACCTTTTTCATAAAAAGGGAAATGATTTTTTTTGTAAAAGATGGCAGCAAGACAGTCAAAAGTTCCCTAAATTCATTTCACTTACCACCAACCTTAATCTATGTCAACTTTTCCCTCTGTAACAATTATCCTAGATAGTGCCAACATTCTGCACTTCAAATAGTGCAGTAATGCAGAAATACTGTATATTAATTAATGCAAAGACAAAATTTAACACACTGTAACACTATACAGACCCTTTAACATTCTCTTTCATTTCAACAGGTGTATATTCAACATGGATTCCAAACCAGAAAACCCTGCCTGGCTGTTTGAAGGTTCAGAGTTCCAGAGTATGGTCAAAAAGGACTTGGTGATGAACATTTGGAAGGACGGCATGTGGGGGTCCTATAGACATGTTCCTGCTAGTGGTAAGTGTTTTCCATTGTTAGCCTGATCTACGGCAAATTGTGGAGGTCTTATAGACATGTAATCACTAGTGGCAAATCATTGACATTAACAGCCAGATTTACAGTACTTGTTCTGCACAATATATACAATTTCTTGGGTTTTAAAATGCAACAAAATTCATCAATGAATTCTCTGCTTGTTTGTATCTGGATAGTGACTGGTTATGACTACTTTCTGAGTAAAATCAACTTTGTTTTCATTTTATTTTTCTAAACATAGGGAAGAAAATGGCAGTTTAAAGAATGCTTATAGTGAGCAAAGCTATAATGAGAAGTTGAAGTCAATACTGGGTTTTGTTTTAGTTATACTCAATACCACAGATTAATGTCAGTTTACAGTGCTTGGCAGTATAGCAATGTTCTGTTACAGATACTAGACTTAAGCCATGTGCTGGAGCCTTTGTGAATGTGCTGACCAGGGGTGACCTGTCCAGTCTCAGTTGGATGGAATCCCCACTTGACAGGGTTCAGTCTGGGGTGTCCTGTTGTAGAGTCCACTTTGCTGCATTGAACTTCCGTGATGTCATGTTGGCCACTGGGAAGCTGCCACCAGATGCTCTCCCTGGGGACCTAGCCACAGAGGACTGCATACTCGGCATGGAGTTTTCTGGAAAGGACAAACAAGGACGTCGAGTGATGGGCTTACTTCCAGCAAAGGTACGGTCAGAATTAATTTTCTATACCTTTACTGCTCGTGAAATTAAAAGTATTGTTTTTACTATAAAAGAAATATTTGCAAAGTGCCAATAGCTATACTATAAACTACTCAAAATATTTTATGTATTTATTTGTATTTATTTGAATTTTCTGTTGGCAAATTTAATGTTTTCCTGAAGAAGAGTTGACTTTAGGATAGTACTTATTTCAATAAGTAGAGACCTACATCGTAGTTTGAAGGTTTGTGGTATTTCTGTATCATGTGATATATCATGTCATACATATGTTACAGGGTTTGGCCACTATGGTAGAGGCCAATTCAAATTTTGTTTGGTCGGTCCCAGACCTCTGGTCACTTAAAGATGCTGCCACTGTACCAGTTGTCTACACAACAGCCTTCTATGCATTGGTAGTTCGGGGTCGGATTAGATCTGGTGACCGTGTCCTCATTCATTCTGGAAGTGGGGGTGTTGGCCAGGCAGCCATAAGCATTGCCCTTCACTATGGTTGTCAAGTGTTCACTACTGTTGGCACAGCAGAGAAAAGAGCCTACCTAAAGTCTAGGTTTCCTAAGTTACAGGACAGTCACATCTGCAATTCACGGAACACAACATTCGAGTCAGCTATACTTAGACTTACGAAAGGAAAAGGTGAGCTTCATTTTTGCCAAAAGTTGCTGAACTCAAAGAATGATATTCTTGTAACAATTAAAAGAAATGATATATAGTAACAAGAGGCCCATGGGCCTTAACAGTCACTGAGTCCTACAGTATTTATTTTTGTTGTTGAAATATGTACCAATTTGAGTAAAAAATAGTATAATGTTAACTTAGCTTTGTCAGGACCATGAGCTGATCATTCCTAGACCGATTTTCAGTGAGATCGGCCTATTAGAACTTGTTTTTAAGTTTGAAATAGGTATTTACAAAATATCGGCCATGGCAGCCAAATTGGATTTCTGATTGACCCGAAAAATAACAACACTTTGTCAGGACCATGAGGCGATCATTCCTACCAACTTTCAGTTCAATCGGCCCAGCAGAACTTGACTTTAAGTTTGAAATGTAAAATGTTAACGGACGACGGACGATGACGGACGAAAACGGATAGCAATAGGTCACTTGAGCTAAAGCTCAGGTGACCTAAAAACTACTACTGTAGAAAGATGATTCTCCGATTCTCACTGATTGATTTTGACCATTTTTAGGTGTGGATGTGGTACTGAACTCACTTGCTGAAGAAAAGCTCCAAGCCAGTGTTCGCCTTCTTGCACAGCATGGTCGTTTCCTGGAAATTGGGAAATTTGACTTATCTAAAAATAATCCACTTGGTATGTACATGTTCCAAACAAAAGTATATTATGAACAAAAACATTGATCCCTTGTCTGAGACGGGTTTCATTGTATTGTAACAGTAAAAAAAATCTGGTTTTATATTCTTTGTTTTACCAAAATGTTTTCGGTTACCAGGTACCTTAATTGTTTTGTTTTTGAAATCAAAGAAAGATGCACAATTTTTCTCTCATTTTGTCTTTACACAGGCATGGCTGTGTTCCTGAAGAATGTCAGTTTCCACGGTATCCTCCTGGACGCTTTGTTTGAGGAGGGTAACCCAGAATGGAAACAAGTGTCAGAACTGCTGTTCCAGGGAGTGAATTCTGGGGCGGTACAGCCCCTTGCTACCACTGTGTTTGAGAGAGACGACCTTGAGGGGGCATTCAGGTACATGGCCAAAGGCAAACACATTGGCAAAGTCCTCATTAAGGTATGTGTTCAAACGTTACTTACTAAGTTACTTAGTCAAAACTACTTAACTTTAAAATCTTACTTAATTTTGAAAATTTCAGTAATCTTATGTACCGCAGGGTCAAATCTTTCATTGGATATTTATGTTTATGATCATTACAAAATTTATTACATCTCTAATTATTTTCCAGATCCAGGAGGAAACCAACTTACAATCACCTGTAATTGTAAATGCTGTTCCAAGGTTTGCTTGCCATCCCCGGAAATCCTACATCATCACAGGTGGTCTCGGTGGCTTTGGGTTAGAGCTAGCTCAATGGTTGATTGAAAGAGGGGCCAGACAGTTGGTTTTGACCTCTAGATCAGGTGTCAAGACCGGCTACCAGGCAAGGAAACTTCAAGTGTGGAAAAAGAAGGGGATTCAGGTTATTGTGTCCAAGGAGGATGTATCCACAGAACATAGTGCACAGTCTCTCATCAAAGAATCTTGTAATGTCGGAGAAGTTGGTGGAGTCTTCCACTTAGCTATGGTAATTATTTATGTAACAACAAATCCAGCAAAATTGTTTTATCAATTTGGAACTACATGACCATTTCTCACTTTTATTAAAATCAAACATGCCTTGTCAGGGTTAACAGATTGAAATTAACTGCCAGTTTACAAACATATCATAAACATATTCTGTATATAACTTCACAAAATTTTACACCTGCAAAAATAACTGATTATGATATGCAGTATATTACAACAGTCTTCTTGATCAAACACACTTTTTTTTTTAGGTTCTCAAAGATGGTTTCTTAGAAAACCTGAGCCAAAGAGACTTTGAGGTTGTCTGCCAACCGAAAGTTGTTGGTACCCTGCATTTAGATAAGGTGACAAGAGACCATTGTAAGGACAGCCTTGATTGGTTCGTTGTGTTCTCGTCGGTCAGTTGTGGGCGGGGCAATGCTGGTCAGGCTAACTACGGTTTCGCTAACTCGGTAATGGAGAGGATTTGTGAGCAGAGGACACTGGATGGATTTCCAGGTACAGTTTTAGCATAGGATTGTAACTTGAAGAAAAAAACGTTTTACATTTCCTTACACATTTAAAACAATGGAGTTTTCAAACATTATGATGTAGAAGTTTAGTTTCATTTGATGGTATACTTTCACTGGAACTAATGTGAGTTGTTTATATTCCTTGTGGTACCGAGGTATGTACAAACTGAAAGTATTATTTTGAAAGCGCTTACAAAATTGAAAGCTTACATAGAGTATTTCTACATGCTTTCCAAGTTTTCAATTGAGTAATATATTGTTTTAAAGAGATGTGGAGGAAGTGATACTAAATATATTGTCCCTGGTTGTAACAGCTCTAGCAGTACAGTGGGGAGCCATCGGAGATGTCGGGGTGGTGTTGGATACCATGGGAAACAATGACACAGTGATTGGTGGTACGCTGCCACAACGCATGTCCTCCTGTCTCTCTACACTGGACAACTTCCTCAACCAACCACACCCCGTAATGTCCAGTTTTGTACTCGCTGAGAAGGTCAACCAGATGTCAAGTGGTCAAAGTTCCAAGAAAAACTTGGTAGATGCCATTTGCAATATTCTAGGTTTGTGGTTTCATTCTTTTTGTTAAGGAGTGATTAAAGTAAAGACGATCTTGAATAAAAGTTAAGTTAACTCAAACCTTTTGTAAAATTATGTCCAAGTAACAATTATTTGATTTCTTTGTTGGATGAAAGAAATTTTGAATGAACAGCATCCTTAATTTTCCATTATATTACAGGAGTGAAGGACCCCAGTACTCTGGATTCTGATACAAGTCTTGGTGACCTTGGTCTAGATTCTTTGATGGGAATAGAGGTCAAACAAACATTGGAGCGAGATTTTGACCTAACATTATCCATGCGTGAAATTAGACAACTCAACATATCAAAGCTCAAGGTTATATCAGAAAATCTAGACACTGACGGTCAAACTTCCAAAGCCATTGAGGAACCATCATGGAAGCTCTCGAATAAAAACGTTCTCGACAGATATGACTTGGACCAGATAGTTCCTCAGGAGACCATAGTCAGGATGAATAAAGGAGATGAAAGTCAATCTCCTTTGTTTATAGTCCATCCTTTAGAAGGTAGGTAGAAAATGCCAGCAACTTTACACGATTGATGATAAAGGAAGTGATGAGATTTTATTATGAATTATTTGTTGTATTTGGTAATTGTTTAGTATGTTTTAATCATTATAATGGGGAAAAAAGATAAAATTAAATTTGTCAAATGGTTTTGTATCAATACTGCTTGTATTGATGATCACATAATGTCAATTTTGAAATGCTGAAACCATGAGGGTGGTGTTTAAATGGAACTGTGAACTGTGAAATGCTGAAACCATGAGGGGGGTGCTTAAATGGAACTGTGAAATGCTGAAACCATGAGGGGGGTGTTTAAATGGAACTGTGATTTTTTCCTGAACAGGAAGTGTGAAATGTCTGAACAAGTTATCATCTCACCTCAGCTGTCCAGTATATGGTCTTCAGTGCTCCAAGGAGGTCCCCCTCCACAGTATCCCTGCCATGGCACGCTTCTACATACAGGTAAACAATACAACATCTGCATACAGGTAAACTGTATGACATTTTTATATACAGGTAAACAATACAAAATGTACATGCAGGTAAACTGTATAACATCTAAATATAGGTAAACAATACAAAATGTACATACATGTAAACAATACAACATCTAAATACAGGTAAACTGTACGACATTTACATACAGGTAAACTGTACAACATTTACATACAGTTTCGACTGTTTAACACACGGGTATTAGCATTGATGAAAAATTCACAGAATTTTTGTCAAAGTTACCGATATTTTGAGGAAAGTCTATACAGATAAGTAGATACAGGTAAGTCATATAATCCTAATTTACAGGTAAACTTTGCAACTTGTATGTACACAGGTAAATTTTACAAATACATGCAGTTGAAGTATACCCAGTTTCTACATACAGGTAAATCATCAGTTTCTACATACAGGTAAAGAATCATACCCAGCCTCTACCTACAGGTTAACAATGCAATCTCTACATACAGGTAAATAATACCCATCTTTTACATACAGGTAAATACATGCAGCGGTAATACCCTGAAAGAAAATATCTAACATTATCATGACACAGTCCTGTTGTTCAACATAACATGTTTTCAGTGTACTTCATATTTTTTTCTTTGATAATTACAGATTATACAGTCGGTCCAACCCCATCCTCCATACAAGTTATGTGGCTATTCCTTTGGAACAAGTGTTGCCATAGAGATAACACTGCAGTTGGAGAAACTGGGAGCTGGGGTAGTTGAGTCACTCTGCTTGCTGGATGGGTCCCACAAGTTTGTGTCGGCCCACACTGGAGCCTACAGAGACCAATGGGCCATTATGGACAAGAGCCAGGAGGAGATTGCTGGCCTTAGTGTCTTTGTTCAAGAGTTTACTTCTATAGAGCCAAGCCAGGTAAGGCCTGAACTTTGACATTCATATTGAATCCTGGTGGGAAGGCTTGACCTTTGACATACATATCTAATCATCTGTATTTTAATCAGATGAATGTTGTCCAATACATTTTCCAAACATTAAGGAAAGATGTTTTACATATAAATATAACCTTCCAACCTGATTTAATTTGTTAATTACTTCATCAATATCAAAGGTTTTGGGAGATAGCAGAACGACTATAGAATTATATATTTCGTTGTTTGTTCTGGACTAGCATATCCCCAATTTTAAAATTATCCCTCTATCAACTCTGATTGTGGAAGTAAACAACACACTTTATAAAATGCTTAATATCGATTATTTTTGTGAAAAATACAGCTTGCCATGGAATTGGGGAAACCAGCAGACTTGACTGGACGTCTAAAGGTTGTTGTAAATATCTTGTCAAAGTTGGACGTCTTTAAGAATTCAGCAGATTTGGACACAGCTGCTGAAGCCTTTTATCGACGATTGATCATATCGGAGCAGTACAAACCTGAACAGAAGTTACATGGGAGTGTGACACTGATCAGGGCAGGGAGTGGCGACACAAAGCCACTGGGGAAAGACTATGGCCTTACACAGGTAATATTGCATTAATAAATGTATCATAGAAGATAACTTGATTTGAATTAACACAGAACTTGTCCCTTGAGACCTCGATTTAGTCAGAAATGCCATGATACTATTGTACAGTATAAATTGTTTAGACTGAAGCCAACATAATCAGAAAAACTATAAACTGGTCATTGAGATTAGCCCTTTTAAAAGAACTTGTCCCTGTACAGTGAATATGTAGAGTGTGAAAACCTGTTTCTACAAAACAGGAATATTGGTCTTACAGAAGTTTGTTTCATGCATAATTCGCTATATATTATCTATAAAGATAGGGCCATTAAAATACTGGCAGGTGTAGCTATTTATGTAGTTCTGTTTAAACAGCAGTCACTGTATACATGATGTAGCTGGATGTACAGTGTATTGTAGTTGTTTGGTTTAGACAGGGGTCACTGTATACATGTACAGCTATATATCTAGGTAGTTCGGTTAAGGCAAGGGTCACTTTATACTTGAGTGTAGCTATATGTATGTAGGGAAAATGTATAATGGTGTTGCTATATGTTTAAAATATACATGTATGCAGTTATTCGGTTTAGAGAGGGGTCACTGTACTGGTGTAGTTATATGCATGTAGTTATGTTTAGACAGGGGTCACTTTAAACATGTACAGCTATATATCTAGGTAGTTCAGTTAAAACAGGGATCACTGTATACAAGGTGTAGCTGTTCTGTTTAAACAGGAGTAAATGTATAGTGGTGTTGCTATATTTTTTGAAATATCTGTTACTGTTTGGTTTAGACAGGGGTCACTGTATACATGTAAAGCTATATATCTAGGTTGTTTGGGTAAGACAAGGGACACTTTATACTTAAGTATAGCTATAAATATGTAGTTGTTTGGTTTAGACAGGGGTCACTGTAAACATGTATAGCTATGTATATATAGTTGTTTGGTTTAGACAGGTGTCACTGTAAACATGTATAGCTATATATGTATAGTTCAGTTTAAAAAGGGTCATTGTAAACATGTATAGCTATATATATATATATAGTTGTTTGGTTAAGACAGGGATCACTGTAAACATGTATAGCTATATATGTATAGTTCAGTTTAAAAAGGGTCATTGTAAACATGTATAGCTATATATATATATATAGCTGTTTGGTTTAGACAGGGGTCACTGTAAACATGTATAGCTATGTATATATAGTTGTTCGGTTTAGACAGGGGTCACTGTATACATGTACAGCTATATATCTAGGTTGTTTGGGTAATACAAGGGACACTTTATACTTAAGTATAGCTATAAATATGTAGTTGTTTGGTTTAGACAGGGGTCACTGTAAACATGTATAGCTATGTATATATAGTTGTTCGGTTTAGACAGGGGTCACTGTATACATGTAAAGCTTTATATCTAGGTTGTTTGGGTAAGACAAGGGACACTTTATACTTAAGTATAGCTATAAATATGTAGTTGTTTGGTTTAGACAGGGGTCACTGTAAACATGTATAGCTATGTATATATAGTTGTTTGGTTTAGACAGGGGTCACTGTAAACATGTAAAGCTATATATATATAGTTAAGTTCAAAAAGGGGTCGATATATACTGGTGTAGCTATATGTAGTTATTAGGTTTAGACAAGGGTCATTGTCTATGTTGCTAGTTTGTTGCATGTTTCTATAATATGTACTTAATAAAATTTACTGTTTCAGATTTGTGATTGTACTCTGAACATCCACGAAGTAGATGGGGACCACGCCAGTTTTATCACTGGATACCGTTCTAAGGTCACAGCAGGTCACATTCAATCACTATTCAAGACAATGGTGAAATAGCGGGAGATTTACATGCAATTATAAATGTATTTAATGCAATAATTTTGATACAATGTATGAAGTGACATTGACATCCTGGCTGCATGTCCTTGATTAGAAAAGACCAATGTTTAAATGTTATAAGGCCAAGAGAATGTAATTGTATGTGTGCACTGTGGTACTATCTGTCATCTTTACTAAATATTAACAAGTGCTTTGTATTAATTCAAATTAGGACATATCTCAAGGAGTAGAACAAGAGAAATAGTGGGGCAGTGCCCCTAAATAAGGGACATCAACACCAGAGTCAAACCCCATTGACACTTGTTCCTTATGTATTTCCACAAAAATAAACGTAATTGTTCATCAGGCTCCAGATCTGAAAGAGTTTGAAATGGAATGATCTGCTTTGATAATTTTTTCACAGCTCAATGATATAGTGTCACCTTTGACATCACTGCTGGGTATGTAACCAATCACTTCAAGGCTTTCTTAAGCAGCAAGAGTAACAACATTTGTTTTGGGTCATTGATTGAAAAAAAGGAGAAATAAACAACATAAGACAGGAAGTCAATCAGGATCTACAAATGTCAGGTGTTTGTTTATCTTGAAATCTATCTGGATATTTATGAAAGTGAAAGTATCTGTATTAAAGAGGTTTAACTACACATGGCTGATTTTTTTTTTTTTTTACTCATGCTTTTGCTAACTTGTTCAAAACTGCAGCAATGGTTTAAAGATACTCAAAATAATACATGTCTAACATTTTTTTAAAAATGTTATGTATCCTAACTTGGTCCCTATCCATACTTTTTGTTGGAACTTGTAAAGTGATATTTTACACTTGTTTTACTTGTCTGGTTGTTATTTTTGTTGTTAAGGATGTTAAAACAATGTAAACGTCCAACCACTTGTTTTACTCATCCGATAGAATATTAATTGGCATCACCAATTAATTACCAGTGTTGTTTCTTACAAGGGTATAGTAACATGTAATACATACCATGTTATGATCAAAGTAGTGTTTAGTTTATATATATGTTATTACATGTAATGTTATAGGTTCAGGGACCGTAGCTCAAGGTCTGATAGATTTTATTTTAAAATTTTAGATATTTTATTTTGAAATTTTACATTATCGGAGAAGATAACATTTCAAAATAGATAACATTTCAAAATCAAATCAAATCAATAGAACCTTGAGCTATGGTTCCCACAGCTAGTAATGTTGGGACTATGACCACTCTACAGTGTTGTATTTATAATATGTAAAAATAATCTGTTTCCAGAAGCTGAAATCATGAAATGCATTTAAATTGTTCAGGCATACGTTACATTATATTCATGATATTGGTCAACTCTGGTACTTAAAATACTGAAAATATATTGTTTTTGGGACATTAAATAGAGACTCAATTTAAATAAAATAAATTCTTATCCATCAAGCATGTGAAGTATCGGGATAGATATTGGGATCAACTTTTGATTAGAGTAGTTTGGATTTTATTGATAAATACTTATTTTTGGTGAAACAGAAACTGGTTTTGTGTAAATGTTTATTGTTTTGCTGAACAAGTCCCTATGGAGAAGACATATAATAAATGTAAGGACATGACATTTGAGTGGAATTTTTGTTATTTAAGGAAAACAGTATCGGCCATCTTTATAAATGTGTACAGCGTTTTGGTAATCTGACGTCATTTTGTGACTTTCATGTTGTAATATGTATGTGTGATCGGTTTAACTGTAATCATGGTAGACTATAAGAAAAACATGTTTTGTGATATTGTTAGAAGTAATATTTATGAATAGTAACAACATTCCAATAATGAAATCCTATCATATTTTAAAGTTCAATTTTCATAAGTTGTCTCCTATATTTGGTATAAATTTGCTTTCTATATTGTACACTAGTATCACAAAATTAGACTAAGTCGATCCGTGCTAGTATACTGGAATTCCATTATATTTGAAGTGCTATTTATTCTTGTGCTAATGAAGTATTGATACACTGAAATCTAAAGTCTGCTACACAGTTAAGGTATTATTATATAAGTTATTACTGGTTTATCAGTATTGATTTTAATGCTGTTATCCCTGTTGATTGTTAAATTATTGTATATTGACTTTAAAATAAAAATGTAATTAAATTAATTAAGTTTTTCTTATTCTTGAATTAACTGATAAGTGTTTTGTGATGTGGGAACATATTCCTGAATGTCGACTTATAAAACGTGGATTTGCTTGATATGAAAGACTGTTTTCAGAGATTTAAATACTTGGTATATGTTTAGAACTATAGTGGTTACACATCGCAGAATTATGAATTCTTTGATGATTTTTTTTTATGTTGCTCTGAAGAATATGAATGGTAAGGGGAAAAATGCATATATGGTGTGGATATGTTTGTAAAAACAATAAGAAAATAGTAAAGGAGTTATTTCCCTTTTACAATCAATGCGAAGAAGTTGTTTCCAATTATAACAACTTGAATGGAAACGGTGGTTATACAATCACAAACTAGCTTCACATCATAGGTTATATGTCGACTACCGATTCCGAAAGCCATTAACAATATCACTGATATTCACATGAAATGCTGTTCAGTATCGGTATTTAGGTTGGTAAAAGTTGGGATTACATTCCTCAGATCATTTTGTAAATACACAAACATTTGTTTTTTAACAGATTTTCACAAAACAAAACAAGTGAATATATATAAATCTCATTAAAAAAGAATTGAACTGCATTTTGCGCAGTTATAAACCTATTACTCTTAAAAAGATTTACAGGCAAATCGAATAATGCAGGTTATTTATTTGGTTATGTAGAATTTTAGGGGTTTTGTAATTAGTCTGGCACTTTTTTGGATTTTTTAGAATGTTTCTTAATCGAATCTTTTATCAATGGAATGAAAAAAACAAGACTCTTAAAATCTATGCTTAAAACACGCTTTTATTATAATTAATACTAATATAAAGTACAAAATACGACACAAATTTTTGTGTAAAATTACAAAATGGTCTGACTAATGTTATGCCCACTCTCTCCAACCTAAAGAACGATTCTGCAGAATGTTGTGTTATTTTGTTTTAAATGTTACTATTATAAACAACATACACTGTATTCCTTATAACCCATGGACGCTTATTCTGAGCTGGTATAAGATTCAAATGTTACTATAAAAAATACTTATTTAAATTTTAAATTTCATTAGGAACAATCTTTGACCATATTAGGAACATTGACCTTGGCGATGGGTACATGCTGTTCACGTAATAATCTTAAACCAAAACATATTATATACACTGAAAACAGCAGCAATGCTATGTATATGGAAATCATGAAATTATCTTGAACCGTCCAGATACCTTGATTCGGAGGTCAATATTCCCATACAGTATACTTCTGTATAGATTCCCTTTCCATAGAAGTAACTAATCGACACGTCCCCAGTGTTTCTTTTGTCCCGGAAATTCTATAACATTTTTTTTCATTGGAAAGCATGGTTGAAGCTAAGGAAAATGTCCTGAAGACTTTTCATTAACTGCAAAAACGTTTTCCTATACTTAGTACAAATACGTCAGAAGAAGTCTTAAGCTAAGGAACCTTCGTATATATAGTTTACATATCAATGTTTATTAACGTTGATTCGTCGCTCCTAATCATCCGGGATGATGACCAATCGACTACAAAGCCAGTGTTTTGCCGTTAGACTCATGAAAGGTCATGTATTACGACTTGCCCGTGGTCGTCTGGAGGTTACATCAATACCCAAGGGGTTACGCCACGTCCTTGGAATATGTCATAGCAAATTAAACTTGAAGGCACGCGATTAACTATTTGATTGGTCAAAAAACCTTACCAATCGCTAGGCTGATGCAGAGGGCTGATGCCTGTCATATGAAGATTACCTAGGAACGACCAAAGGACCAAACTAGTCTTCTCGTCTCATCCACAAGATGATGTACACTGAAGCCTTCAATTTGCCATTACATTTTTCATGGTGTAGAGAGCGAAAGTGAGCGTAACCCCTGAAGTGCAGAGAATGACTGTCACGTGGTTTATGTCACAGGAACCTGATAATTTATACGCCATTTCAGAGTTTCAAAGTTTTTCGCAGTCAGCCTGCCACTTTTTTTTTAATATTAATGAGGTTGGGGTCAGCGCGTGCTGAAACATGCAGTGTTGGTTGGTTAAGCCATAGGTGGTGGGCACGTCTATCAAAAAAAATAATTGTATATATAAAACTAGGGCACGTCTATCAAAAAAAATAATTGAATGTATAAAACATACATTTTACGTGCATAAAGGATGTTTAGAAAAGAAAAATCCATCTTTCCAACGGTACTAAGCATATTTCCGTAGATCATCTTGAAATGTTGTTTTTGATGCAAGAAAGTTAGGTGGGGGTCTATGATCTTTGGAGTGTCATTTTTACTGGAAATCGATCTAAACCCGTAAAACATGTAAAATTACTCTGAACACCTTAGTTTAGGTACAAATATAGCTGTAACAAATCTTCAGGTCCCTGTGGTTTATGCGACCGTCTGTAGTTGAAGATTTATTTGTATAGGCATGGGAATATTCTGATTTGTTTGCGGTGTTCTTTCCCGAACCCAAAATATTTTCCACTTTTTCTTATGTGTGGTATAATCACTTATTGTTTTCTAATTTGTGTTCGTATGTTTTCCTCTGATGGTCCTAAGGGTACATCAGGATGTTGTAGAGTCTGGCGGGGTTTTATATCATTATGCTTCCTGTCTGGTTGTTTCTGATATACATTTTACAGGAGATTACTTATTGACTGTGTGTTCGATGTTCCTGCTGTCTTTGTAACACGTTACAGAGTTCACCCTGTATACCCAATTAGGTTCTTTTCTCCTTTATATTTGTGACACCCCAATCGCATCTGTTCCACCAGCTTTTAATAATGGCGATATTCTGTTGTGGATAATGATGAGGTGGGAACATATACTGTGCCCCTCCTCTGGCCGATTTTGTTTTTCATATAAAGCTGAATATTGATGAGCTTATCTGGACTGGTGACGAATTTAACTTACACATTGCCAGCAGGAACGGCTTACAACTAAGCTGTAACATAAGCGAGACGATTTCGACCGTAATATTTCCCTTTCTTGACAGTACCATCTACGCTACCCCTACTACGATGTTTTCATGTGATTTTAATTTGATTTGACCAATATTTACATGCCGGGTGTCGTCGATGAAGCAAAATATGCTTAACCTTTTGGAACACCTGGTTTTATTCTCCATGTACTTTTTCAATGATCTCCATGTAGAGCTTTTTGATCGTATTTTGCCCTAGTTTGATCGATTGAGTTCGAATAATGGTTTTGATGACACTTCAATGTTCTCTTGTTGTTTTTCCTTGACATGTGTGTTATCTTTCTAGAGGCTTAACTGTCTCAGTGATAGCTGTCTAGGAAGGGCTTTTGTTTTATTTCTGAACAATTCCACACTAAGAAAGATGAATGGTGATTTTGATCTTCCTCGATTATTTGAAGCTCACAGAAGATTTTACTAAATGGATAAAACTCAGTAATTCTAAATAACGCCGTTCAAGAGAAATAACTCATAAATCATTGTATTATATGATAAGTGTAAGCATATGACCTTAACAACACGTTGAAGCGTATGTTTGAATAGTAATTGATAAAAAAATACAAACACAAACTTTTTTTCACTGCATCCAGTTTATTTTTTAAAAGTGTTCAACCATACAAAATTCGCGACTGAGCAAACAATAATTATATATAATATAGGTCTTATTTTCGTTAACATTCGCAGTGTAAAGTATGTAGGACGGATCATTTGTAATATGACATCACAAAGCACAATGATGACGCGATAACGAGGAAATAATGGTGACACACAGTGCAAATACTGACAGGCAAAATATGAAAAGACCTACCGACGGTTATATTAAATAATCTATTAGAGTATCACAGATATGCAATAGATATATATATAATTAACAGAAATATTTACAGTGCCAAAAAATATAGCATTACATGCTGGGGAAAAATCACCTTCTGCGATTGGATATTGTGTATACTTACATTAAAATACAGAATTAAGTATATATGTTTACATTGTGCAATATTTGCTAATGCATGTGATGTAAAAAGGAAAAAATTCATAACCAAATTCTTATAAATATATTTATCAAAAGGTTCAAGGAATTGGTTTTATTTCCAATATTTATAAGCAAGAGTAAGACCGAACTTTCAAAAAGAAATTATATTCACTTGTTGATTCAATAAATTTGAAATACATCAAAATCGTGCAGAAAAAGAAAAATTTCGGAAAAATGTGTAAAACAAAGTGGAGCTCTATATTGCTTTAACGCACTATATAAAAAATCAAGATGTAAAATATATCATGTTAACATGAATAGCACATACGTTGTTTTGTAACATTAACCTTCCATCTTGTTCTAGTGTGTTGAATCGAAATATATCTTAAACACCAGTTACGAAATATCAAAATGGTTGGAAAATGTACAACAATACATGGTGTATCATCTCCTATAATGTTATCACAGCTGTATGTAACCACACCTTTATTATTATAATACTGATCAAAACACACGAATATGTGGACAGAATCATCACCCAACGGTAATTATATACAGGAATATAAATAGTAATATGTGCAATACTGATCCGAGACAAACCCAACAGACAAGAGTTCTGTTCTTGGACAACAACGCTGTTGTGTGTACAGTATACACATGGTTTATCCAAGACATAAACATTGATTTCTTACTGAAAGACAAAGTTAGTACATTCTGCACTCTGAATAGTAACAAAGTCTTATGATAATAGTGAAAGTATTAACCGTTAACAGTACCAACGTATGTTGCTTATCTTATTTACTGGTTTTGTTTATAAAGAAATCTTGCATAAACCATCCGATGATAAATAACATTGTTCAATTGAAATAACAATTCCATAATTCACTTGGTCCACTAAAGTTTATGGCAATTTAGACTGAAACAACACGTGGTGACATTGGGAATGTTTTGCGCATGCCCAGACACTTTTCGCGGTCGATGAACAAGCTGTTGTTCTTGATGGACAAGTCTTGTTCCAGACTGGCCTTGGTGCGCAGAAGCTGCTGAAGGGCGTTCTCGGCCATGCGCAGTTTGTTCTGCAAGTGATCCACAGTCACACCGATCTCGCCAACCTCTTCAACCAGCCTTTTTGAAAGAAATACGATATGTTTACCAATACAAACATTAAAAGGGTCTTCTGAATTTCAAAGGAATAATACCATAGACAAACTGAACGCCATTGCTCAATCATATCTTCTTTTTACAACATTTAGCCATTGTTATTTGTACAATGTTCAATTATTGTTTCTTTTCACAACATTCAACCATGTATAAAGTTTGAAAGAATTTGATTGATAAATAAGAATATTGAGTGTAGCATAAGAAAAGACCCGGAACCGCTTTACGGTTTCGAGAGTGTCTCTCAACAACTTAATATTATACAAGATTTCCAGAGAGTGGATAGCGGACATCCCCAAAAGGGTAATAAATAAAGGGCTATAACTCCACAACAACTGAATTTTACAATATTTAAATGTCTTCCAACTAATCCATTTAAATCATCGTTTCAAGAAATGTCATCTTCTATCTGTGCTTCTGTTTTGTGATGAAGCAATATCACCTTATGTGATTTATAAAACGCCTAGATAAAAAAAGCCTACCTGTGTTGTACTGGATCTCTGCAGAGTTCAACGTTAGGTCTACGTATCCTAGTGTCCAAACGGGTGTGAGCCACCTGCATTGGAGCCTCTTTGTCCTGGATAGCCTTCTTCAGCAGCTCAATGTTCTTCTCCATGTCGAAGATCTCTTGGAGGACCTGCAAATTTCAATGGTACAAATTGTTTTAATAGTTCAAAGTAGACAACTTAGTAAAACATACCCAATTTTACCCGATAAGTCAGTATTCTTAAATTTCAATCATTTATCAATAAAGATATCGGATTGTCTGCTACCATGACCCTTATGTTGTGTTATTTAATTAATAATAATGAATAGATGTGCACGTATAAAAGTGAAAGTTTATATATTATAGAGTATCTATATTACCTTAGACAAATGGGTCTGGAGCCTGTTCCTAGCATCAGTGGACTCTCCAATGCGCTGGGTCAAGGCAACATTGACGGAGTTCCATTCCTGCCACATGTCGTTGGCACATGAGTTGAGTGCGCTTTCAATTTCGTTCCTCATCTGTTTGGAGGCAGCACGCTCGCTCTGAGAACGCTGGATGTTGTCGTTGCTAAATTTAGCCCATGTCTCAGGCACAGACACGCTAAAATAGAATTCATATCGTAATTAATGAGCAAGTAATATACGCATATCCTTTACACCAATCTTTCGTGAAATTAAAGACAAATAGACAAATCCTGTCTTTACTTAAACAACTTAAAATAACATTTACAACAATAAATTTACATTTTAGTTACGTTAACACGAGTAACAATGCAATATAATATAATCCAACTCTCCAGCACATGAACTCTAATCAATATATATATATATATATATATTATTTTTTCAAAGATTTTGAAAAGCAAATATCGTACACTACAATTTACAATACCTATACAGCGAACATGGAAGAAACCAATATATTTTCGTATTCGATAGTATTATTTCCATAGCGTTTGAACAGAGCGCTTAGCGTGGATGGTCAATACATGAGAACGTTATGTTTCATCATAGAGTGTGATGGGTAATGATTTCATATTTGGAAATGGTGGACAGTTACAAAAATGCAGGAAATGATAGGCAAACCAGATGCTGTGCAGAAAACACTAAATCACAGGTGGTATTATTTCGTGTTGAAAAGATATGCATCTTATTGTTTAGCCTAAATTGTCACAGCGGTGACAAACCATGCTGAGAAGTTCAGTGTTTATCCAAAATGAATTGGTGCTTGCAATTCCACTAAAAAAAAGTGGTAAGCTGGGGAGGGATTGGTAACAAAGTTGCAGATACGAGTACGAAGCAAGGAAAGGGATCACACCACACCAAACAACAGGAAGTCTCTAACTCACGTGTTGTCAACTCTCTGTACGCCGTTGTGGTAAGCAATACCACGAGAAGAATTGCGCATTCCATGGCAATTTTCATCCAAACTATTCGCTACAAATTTGTCAGCTGAATCAATCTCTAACTCATGTTGAGCTGCTCTGTCCAGACTATAAAAAAAATAAAAGAACATGTTTAAGTTGTACATTATTAGACAATAAAGAACATTAAAACTGATGTGTTATCAATAAGGCTCACTCCATTATGGTAGGCAAGACCACTGGAGTTGTTACGCAATCCGTGACAATTTTCATCAAAATTAAGTGCAAGAAATTGGTCCCCTTGTATAATGTAGGAATATCAGATTTTTAGAAATATTGAGAAAAAATAGACAAGAATAGACTATTTTCTCTTTTATACGATGAAAGAAGTAAAAGACATCAAACCTTGTTGTGATCAATAAGACCCATTTTCTGTTTCAATATCTGAAACTGTATTTCATTGATAATATATTTCATTTGTTTTTCAATCATTTAACAACACATATCTTATTACCCGAGTTGAACGTTGGCGCGCTCAATGGTGTTCCTCATCTTTTCTTGACAGCGTTTGATCAGATCCACCTCCTGTTAAAGTTGGAAAATGAACGTTATTTACTGAACTGTCTTGTGGTCTGTTGCCATTATCACTTAATACTGAACCACTCAATAATGTCAATTTCTTACCTATCTTACATATTCCATGTAATCTTTCAACAAAAAAAAATCCTGCGAGAGTGTCATAATTTACGTCTCGTGTAAGTGTTAATGTCTATACCCATCCACCTTAACTTAACGCTTTACATTAGTACATTGTCACATTTGTTACTAGCCAAGAGTCGATCATTATTCGAGTCTTACCTCATCTATCGTAACTTAGACTAGTCACTAGTTTAAATCTTAGCTCATCCACATTCAGAATATTATCTACTTAGATATGTGTCATTATTAGATTCAAACGCGACCATATATACAACTTGTTATCGTATTCCCTTTATACTGTCACCTTCCTTATATGAGCAATCAAGTCTCTTTAAATCTTACAGTCATCGCCCTTACTCTTAGAGCATTTACTTATTGCTACTTGGTACTGGTATGTCTTACGTGATAAACTTACACTGTCAACACTCTGGACAGGTATAAGTAAGTTCCATCCTAACAGAATTGCATCCTCACACAAGTTTTAACCCATTCACTTGTCGTTTAGATTTTCCTAGCTACGTGCAGTTATTAACCTATATGATCATCCTTACGTGTTCGCCTTCCTGATTCGCTGCGATATCGTATTTTACACTTATTAGAATAAATTGAATATTTTTGACTGGGTATTGAATAAACAGTTGTTGTTCCTTCCAAGATACGAATAATCAGAAAAGTTTTTTTACTCACTCACATTCATATAATGTCTTGCATATAATCATGCAAATCGTGTGTATATGTATCATATTTTAGACATTTAACAAGTCAAACCGGAATCACAAAGGAATATTACAACTTACCTGTAACATAATCAATAGTAGTACAGAATTAATTATACATGTGTTTCACGGTATGTGTCACTATAAGTCACTTTATCATGCTTAACAACTTTATCGATTCACAATGGTCCAAAAGAATAACAAATTCTGAACAATTAATTTTGATATTGAAACAATATATTGGAGAGCATCTTTACTTATTATAGTGAGTTTTACTAAAGTAAGCCCGTGTTCCATCAAAAGAAATAATAATGTGTTTATTTGAAATGAAATTTAAAATGTTTACCTTGATCAGTTCCTTCTCAGGAACATCATGCACCAAGTCGATAGCCTGTCTCTTCTCTCTGTGGTACAGACACTCTTGAGAAATGTGGAGAGGGTTTTCTGTTTCTTGCAGAGCCTTCTCCAACACTCGCTTGGCCTCTTGCAGGGCATTGATCTCGGTGATCATGTTGTCGGTCTCATGGTGGAGCTCCGTCTTCCAGAACTGTATATCCCCAATTCTCTCTCCTAACCTCTTTCCAACATCACTCTGGGTCCTCTTGGTTTTGTCGTCCGTTTCTCTACATAGACGAACTGTATCAAGACGAAGACGTTCGGCACTACTCCTTACTCGATCTGAAGCCATGTAGTTACTGTGGTTTGAACTATACCAATCGTTAGGCGTGTAACGAGTATACAAGGCATTCCTAGCTGCAGCAAACACTGGTGGAACCTTAACATTGTCCAATTCTGACAGTTGATTCTTAGCTGACATTGGCTCTGGCATACTTCTTGTTAATGCTGAGCTTGTGTTGACTCGGGCTGTTTGGTAGTATGTGCTAGGCCGCCATGGTAGGGTGGTAAGGGATCTCCTGAGAGGTGATGGGGCGGGGTATGTATCATGGGCTTTATAGGAGGATTGCATTGTGCTAATGCTTGGTAGGAATGTTTGCGCATTGCTTCCTCCTAGCCGAGGACCAGTCATGTAAGTGGCTGTCTGGGTATGGCCCAGGTACTCCATCTTTGCGTGTTCTGGAATTAACCGAAAATAAATTGAAATTATATAATCGTTATGTTATTGGTTCACTTGATAAACAATTTGTGCTTTATTCTCAACATGTCAATCGTTGTAACTATTTATGTGAAACTTTAAAAACAAAAATATATCAATGATGTCAACCTAATTGATAATATAAAATGGAAACCCTCTGGTCAGAAATCATAGAAATTTGATTGTCTGGTCAGGAATCATAGAAATTTGAATCAATCAATCAATCAACGAGGATCACATAATAGAACAGAATCGTACTCTAGTTTCTATCCACTGCTTCCTTATTTAATTGCACAATAACGTCCAATTATAGATGATCATATGTCTAAGTTATAATGAAATTACAGAACTAATGCATGCTCCGATCAACACATACTGTTGGTAATGATCCCACGGTTACCTATTGTATGGCAACTAGTAATATTAATTTACATATACACTTATTATGTTGAAACTAGCAAACTTAAATCCAATTGCAATACATTATTTATAATTTTGCACATTAATGTCTTTCGTATCAACAAAAGAACATAAAAGACCCACTGCCATAACAAAACATCAATAATTCCGTGTGTTGTCTGCGAGAAAGAATTTTCATTCCAACCACCATCATAGTATGAATATCATATGACTATACAACCAAGTATTGGGACGATATCAAACCACTAATGTAAAACCACAATAGTAATTTTATAAGCGACCGTAATCAGTCTCTCGTTAAATGAACTTGTACTGCATTTTAAAACTTATGTTATTAGAGTTCCTTTCATTAAAAGAGAATAATTTAGATATGAATGCACAATTTAATTCCTAAGTAGAAAACCATTCTGAAAAGTAGGAACCAGATTAATTGAATACAACGTTTGTAGTATGTGTTAATGCGTCCTTATGGCGTACATCAGCTGTCGATACAATTAGCGGGCTATGTTTCGCATTTATGAATGATTAGACATTGATTTGAATGAAATTACTGATATAAACATGACATACCTAGATTGGTCCAAAGATCCTTTGAAAACGTGATGTAGATTCCTCTAACGAATAAACTACCTTATAGAATACCCCTTTGTAGTTTTTCGTTTAAATGCCACACTAACGTAGACTAAGGCAGTATGTTTACAAATCCTATGGCTGCCTGGAGACACTAAGCAACGACGAAAGAGAAAGTGGATCAGTGCAGTATCGATCGATTATAGTCATTCGCCAATACACATGTCATGGGTCATTTCACAGCCTGTCCAATTGTTTGATACAACAATTGTACTTAGCAAAGCCAACAAATGTTGAACTTACGATTAGTGCTAATCCCCGAAATAAATTTAACCGACTAATCCTTTTTCAGCCAATGGAATACTTTAACATAGGTTAAAACTTGCACTTCTGTTACCAACAAGCAGGCTACCTAGTAGCTACAATACACATGCTTAGTTGGTTTCTTTCTTTCTGTCTGTCTACCTATGTCGAGTACTGATCACAGACCCAAGCAGTGAATGTGTCACTCCTGACGAAGATAACGTACGATATTACACGTAGTCTCTAATTATACTGTGTAATCAGTTAGAATATATGGGACAGCCTGATATACACACCAATAAACGATATTTCCACAATCTAAATTTGTTCAAACTGTATTGAGCTGACAGCAGAGGATATTTTAAGTCCTACAGTCAGAATAAAATCTGTGTATGTAAACTTTCTTCCGAACATATGCATTCCATTTAGTATAACAAAGATCTTTGTTTAGTTTACTCGATTGGTGTTGGTGAATTGTTGATGGAAAGGGTTTTCCAGCAATTGTTAATTAGGGTGGAGAGGTGATCAAATACCAGTTGATATGGAACGGTTTAAAAGGTATGATACTTTTCACAATTAAATGTCTGGTGACCAATAGATATTAGTGGAAAGCGCTTTAATGGGCTGAAAGAAAAAACATTCAGAGAATTGATTCTTGGTCTTCAAACGTTGGAGTACAGAAGGAAAAGGAGTGATGTTATCCAAAAGTATAGGCTAATGACTAACATAGACAATTTTAACTAAAAAGGTCGGGAAATGATAAAACCATCAAAAGAGACCAGAACAAGGGGCCACAATAAGAAATAAGATAAACAACGTGCGAGACTGGACATCAGGAAACATTTCATTTCTATCCGAGTTATAGATGACTGGAATAGCATGTCATGAAGTATTGTGAAGGCAGGCACATTGACTGGCTTTAAATCTACTTTGAACCATCAATGGAAGGATCTTGAAGCAAAGCTCAACCCAAGTTGCTGCTAAGTCACTCAGGAACTGTATATGTATTGTACATAAATTAATGTTGAATACAGCAGGCACTTATAAGGTGCATCATATAGGACATGAAATCAAGAATATAATTAAATCTCGAGTAAAGAAATGAAGGAGCTCCATAGGATCATGGAGACAAAAATCAAGGAGGTCCAGAAGCTTAGAGCTTAATACAGGCCCGGTGAACTGATATAACAGCGTTTGTCGAGACTTTTTTGTTTGTTATGTCTAGTGGAAAGATAATAATAGTTGATATGAGAGTTATCTGATGAACATTTGTTGTTGATCTTGAGTTTTTTGAAACTGTTTGAAAGTGTGATCATATGTTGATTTAAATTTGGGATGAATGTTTAATTTGTTATATGTTTCGAGATGTTCTTTTTAAATGGTTATGCGTGTCCTGTGATGAGTAGCAGATCATGTTGGGAGATAATTTGTTCAAACACGTAGATGGAAGCAAATGCTTATGTTTTACTAGCCCTAGTTCCCTCTGGCCCATACACCAGACTTTAAACATTTTAACACCAGATTTCTATTTGTTAAAATGTCTAAGCCTGGTGTCAGGTCCAGTGGAAACTCGAGCTAGAGGTTCTAGCAGTTTACATTGGAAGACGAACGTTTTAATGGTTCGATATCCGGTTAGCAGTCGATATAAGTGAAGGGACTTTTTTGTTCAATATATGGGGAAATTTTGTGGATTGTTACATGAAACCAAATCTAGGGAAGAGGTTTTAGCAGTTGATGCCGTAGACAGACTATGGTACTTTGCTACCGATTATTACGAAGAATTTTAACCGACGATAAGGCTTAAAATAGCTGTCTGTTGGGGATGTTTTAATGACAATTTTATGTCCAGTAGATAATTTTTAACGGGTGATTAGGTTTACTTTTTACCAGTTGTCTGTTTGGTTGTGTGCTTTAAACGGTTGATGCTGATATATATAGAGAGCCTTTGTTTAAAGGTGTGCAGTGGGGAGTTTTAACCGATGATGTTGAGGGTTTTTGAGCACTTAGTCAATACTTATCTGGTGAAGAAGATTTAGTTCTTTTAGCAGTTGGTAATAGGGGAGAGGCTTTGTTTATTTTAGGGGAGTTTTTACTCAAATGGTGTCGAAGCTTGTTTTAAGTCTTAGATGTCTGGTGTGGAGTTAAGTGGTTGTTTTTATGCGAGACATTGTTTACTTTCGAGAAGGTTTTTAAAATGATGTTGAGACTTGTTTTAACAGTTAGATATCTGGTCGGGATTTAACGGTTGATGTTTGTGAAGAGGTGTTGTTTGTATACGGGTTACTTTTTAACCAAATTAATTTTAGACTTTTTTTAACGATTATTAATGATATCAGGTCTGGTAGAAAGGTTCTAATGATTGACTTTGGCGGAGGAGCTGTATTTGCTTCAATGCTGAGGCTTGTTTAACAGTTATATATAAGAACCTCTAACACATGTTTTGTTTGTTCAAAAGGTACCTTAATCAGTGATTAGTGCAAATATTATTGGTGTATCTTTAAAATACAACCATTACAGTAACTTAGTTAAAAGTTTTCGTATAGCAACTATTTTAGCAGAATAAAATAACATGCAATCTTGTATCTTGTATATTGACCAAATTATTGGATGTTTTTTTAACAACAAATATATTTTTTCATTTTGTGAACTAAATATTCAGTTTATAAATTATCACATAGGCTAATCGTTGGTATCGTTCATTATTTCACCTATTAACTTGTATTTATAACTAGGAACATTTGAAGTCTTCCAAAATAAAAGATCTCTTCAGTAATATTAAATACGATATCTCATCAAGTTTTAGATATGTATCATCGAATAGACTAAGTATCTAAAAAAGATTTCAGATATCTCTTAAAAAGATGAAGACATTACAGCATACTGTATCCTTAAGGTATATATGTATGCTGATAACTCTAGGCCTATAGTACGAGATAATCTTCTTAAATTAGCGTTGGGCCTGGTAAATATCTTAATTCCAATAAAACAAAGTATTGTGTTCAGCTTTCAAACGGTATTTTACATCATAAAAAAATACGCGGATTCTGTCGGAGATTGGGACCTTGTTGTAGATATCATTTTCCAACAGTCTTACCTTTGCGCTTGTAAAGTTTCTTGCCATCTCCCAGCGACAATTTGGCCGTAAGCAAGTTACAATCCATACTTTTTCTTAGAAAAGAAACTAATTCACGAAATGTGACAAATACTTTAAATATTGGCGCCTATGCTAACTCTAAAGGTTATCAAAGAAAAATTAGGCGGAAATGAATTTCCCGAAATGCACTTTTACATTTCCTCATTCTCTTCAACTCGTCGATAGGTGGCGTGTAAAGGGACGTAATTCTAAATCAAAGATGGCTGACATTCCGACCGATGCCCCAGAACGTAAGTAAAAATCTACAGATACTGGGTGTGACATGCAATAGTATTAAGCGTTAAGTGACTTCAAGCCATTATTAGTGTACGTGATACCTAGCGTGGGGAAGAAATCACGTGTTTTGTGACCAAGATCGATATACTGTGTGATAGTTTACTTACTGAGTTAACGACGCACTGCAATACTAATTTAATCTACGATACAATATAAGTGAACCTGAAATGTTTACCCTAGATACCGCCCAGCTAACTTGGAATTTATCCAAATATACACCTGAATGAATTAACACCGTGTTAGGGTATGGATAAGGTTTTAAAACATATCTTTATTAAAAGCTTGAATATGATGTATTTAGGAGGAAAACAATGGACTTTAGCTCCTCCTTACACTCGAGTGTTGGCCTTACCAAATATTTCATTCTGAGACACAGTTCTCACTAGAACCAAGCAGCCCGATTCTTAGTCACAAGACTAGTCTGTGAAACAGGATACCTGCCTTTTAAATGTGATTATGTCGATGTCACATTTTTTTGTCTGCTAATATTAATTCCTGATTCCTGTAGCCTACAGTGTACAGGTCCAGTACACTCTGCCGATTGAGCTATATAGCTATAAAGACCTATATAGCTATATATACCTATAAATTATAGCTGTATTGAGCTATATTTTCTCAGATTTCAAATTTCATTAAATTAAAGCAAAGTCGCATAAAAGAATAAGGTTTATGGTAATGTTGACTACAAAGAGCATACAGTTAGATGTTTATTTTCATTTTTCATAAATGTAAAATTTCCGATTTTTTTACATCATTATTTTTTAAAAAGAATACTTATATTTAATGTCTTTTGTTATCAACCTAATGATACAATCTTCTTTTAAAAGCGACTTTGTTTCGTTTTCTTTAAAAAAAGAAANTAAGATGTCTCAAATATTATGTTGGGACCAGAGATCTGAGGAACTCGGGTTAACTGTATTGTAGTGTAAGCTTATGTGCATTAAAATTTACAATACACTTATATATATAATACCAATAGTTCATCAACAATATAGATTTAGGTAGAAGAAATGTCATGAAAATTCATAGACAAAAATACTATTTTAAAATTCATTTTTGTTTGTTGATTTTTTTTTATTGACATCATATATGTATTTTTACTATTCAGGGATTGAGTGTTTTTTGCACATACAATTTATATTTGTGTTTTCCTTGGATGAAGCAGCTAGTGCAAAAAAAACCCATGAAGTATGACCTGTGAAATTCTATGACTATATATAGATCACGTGTGGAATATTATTTTATATTGTTACCTGAAATTACAGATTTATTTCCATCTGAAACCTTTGTTATTTGTTTATTTCAGACTGTCCAGGGACAGCTAGTGACGATGCAGGAAAGGCAGCAGCCTGTCAAGGATGTCCTAATCAGAATGTCTGTACTGTCTTACCCAAAGGACCAGATCCAGGTATTGTTTTAACCTTTTTATTGCAATATAAATAATTATAATAAAGAATATTGTGTTAACACTTGTTTGATCATGGTATAAAGTTGCCACATATTTTTTTGCTGTTTTAGATATACAGTTGTATACATATAATAATTTTTTGAAAGAAAACTTTTACATTTTTGTTGTGGTTTAAGCCTTTTTCACATAAGGTGTGAATTAGCAAAGATAACTTGTTCCTCTTCCTTTTGTGTTTTAGGCAACAAAATATAGAAATCAGACATTTTAAAACAGATTTTCAACTTACTAACCAATGTCATGCTTTAGGAATTTTGAACAGTTTAAATATTAAAACACCTAGACATGTCACTGGCAGTTTAGGCCATACTGTCATAAATTATTCTTTCGTATTGTTTGTAAAAAATATAATCATTTAATAATTAATTTTATTTTTTTCGTAATTAATGTGTCATACATTTTTTACAGCGGTTGCAGAAATAAAAGAAAGATTATCCTGCGTGAAGCACAAGATTGTTGTTTTATCTGGAAAAGGTGGAGTTGGTAAAAGTACATTTACCGCTCACTTAGCCCATGGGTTAGCTACAGATCATACAAAACAGGTCAGTTGATTGTTTTATCTCTTCCATTTTTTTTCTGTAATTTTCTAATAAAACAGTTTTAATTCTAATTTCACCCACTTGATTTTATAATGAAGGAATTGCATGAACATGATAATTCTACTGTATCACCGAAATAAACAATGTTAAGAAAGCTGTGCTTTATTGAGATCAAGAAATATGTTACGTTCAATGATATCAGAACCAAATTAAAAGGCAAACAAAATAAATATTTCAGAAGCATTTAAATAAAATATCTTAGTTTTCATCATAGCTCTTCATTATTTAGAGTTTAAACCCTGTGCCAATAATACCTTTTATTGATATATGTGTGAAGTGACAGAATACACCTGTCAATGTAAAGAGAAGGGGAAGTTTTTATCAAAAAGTTTTTTCCCCGACACCCTTTATCCCCAAATAGCAGGGTTCCTCCTCAGCCACTATGACATGTGTACCTTGTTAACAATCCTGTTTTTGTAAGTGGCTTTTACTAAAGATATTGATCTACCTTCTGTCGGTTTGAATAAGATTTCAAAAGAATTGTTGTCCTAGTGTATATAGGTGTGTTGATTTTTTGTGGACTTTTAAAGCTAAACCAACAAAAATGTGTTTTTTTTATTAAATTGCCTGTCAACAACATTTCTAAAAAATAAAGCATCAAAAATTGAATTGTGTGCAATATTTTACTGATTTTTATGTCACATTTAAGTTGATTAAGGATAGACTTTACAATCTTATACCTCTTACAAGGATAGTCATTGAGTAATAATAGAATATTATTCAATTTTCTTTAGGAAACATATTGTTTGTCCTGGATGTGTGCCTTTGTGGGTCTTACCCACATTTTGAGATCTCATTATATCACTTCCTAATTGAAAACTCATCTAAAAAAATCTATTAAAGTCATTTAAACTTTAAAAACAATTTGTTGACAAGTTATGGTAGAAATTCTAAAAGTCTTCTATATTATCAATTGTAATACATGCTGTATAAAGCTGTTCAAAGTAGTAGGGGAACACGTCTGAATTATCACAACAGAATAAGTCCATATAAAGTATACAAATATATTTTCACAATTATAATTCATCAAAAACAGATCACACCTTTCAGATCAGTGTTATATATATAAATACACGCTGCTGTTTAAAAGTTAGTTGTAATTTCACGACTTTATGATTGAGTGTACACATTGCTGTCAAGCTTAAGTAGCTGTCTACACTTCATTATTTAATTGAAATTTTCCCTGTTGGTATCCTTCAAAACAGGGGAACACCACAAGAAATACAGTACCTCTGACAACTTTAATTATCACATTGATAAAACATGATAATACCAACTGTTTTTGTAACTTGTAATTATTTTGCATATTTTAAAAGAAAATATGACATATATATATACATTTTTTTAGTGTGGTGTTCATTCCTTTGCACAATGTTAATGATAAATTGATATGTGAATTGCATAACATTCATATAAAAACAAACATCGACCCGTATGTGGTAACAATAATATTATATTGGCCCATTTCCTCCTGCAGTGGTTGGTCTGGGTGAATTAGTCATGGCCAAACACACTAATGTGTGGTTTACATTTGATGCCCCTTTCATTTTGTGGTTAATGCATTCTATTGTTAAGTGGCCCTTTTAGCTATTAAAGCACTAGGTGTGGCACATTTAATCGAAAGTTTTCCTTTTATAATTACATTTGTATATATGAATATACATTCTGAAAGGGACTAAGTTTAGCAGGATTTTAAAATATTCTTTATAGGATTGACAGGTTACTAGATTTATGGACTGCTTGTTTACACATATGAAGTGCTGAATAAACATTCTGTTTTGGTTTTAAGTTTCTAATGGATGACACCGTTCCTGATAATAACATTACATGCAACTATGTAGGTCTATAAGATATGTTACAGTGTAGTTAGTCTTTGTGGGTCTACATGGGTCTATGTTTGGTAGTCCAGTAAGTCTACGTACCTGAGTCTATATAGTCATGGTGAGAGTTTTTTTAGTCTATGACAGTTTACAAGTAATGTTGGAATCTGTAAGTCTACGTAGGTCTAAGTGTACTGTGAGAGTCTAGTAAGTCTTATATTGTGAGAGTCTATTTAGTCTACATAAGTCTTAAGTGTACTGTGAGAGTCTAGTAAGTCCACATGTACTGTGCTAGTCTATTTAGCCTATGTGAGTCTATGTGTACTGTGTCAGTCTAGTTAGTGATAGTCTAGTAAGTCCACATGTACTGTGCTAGTCTATGTGAATCTATGTGAGTCTATGCGTACTGTGCCAGTCTAGTTAGTGATAGTCTAGTCAGTCTTAGTAGGTCTTCATGTGATGTGAGAGTCTAGTTAGTCATGAGAGTAAGTTGTACTGTTGGAATCTGTGAGTCTATTTGAGTCTACATATATACTGTAAGAGCCTGTGTGAGTCGAAACGTATTATGAGAGTCCACTCAATCCACTTGGGGTTTCGTGTACTGTTAAGAGTCTAGTCCAACACAGAACCACTTTAAGTGTTAAATGTGCATTTTGTTCATAAAATGGTGTATACATGTATATCATACTTTGAATTTGACTGTTTTCATCATAGTGTAAGGTGCTGAGAACCATCTGTACCAGTCTTCCTGGACAGGTAAATCTCAGTACAGTATTGTATACATTTAAAATTTGTAAATTTCAAAACCTAGAAAATAACATCTTTAATATGTGAGCACCTGCTGAAAAGCTTATTTCTTTTCTATATAAATACTATTGAAATTATTGTGCAGTAAAATTGATTCATTGTTACACATATAGTGGCCACTAAAGTTTGTTGTATTTTCATCTATTGAGCAAAAACACTGGTAATGGGATTAATTGTTGTAGCTGAAATACTAGTAATGAAGTTTATTGATGATGACATGCTCTGTTGGGCAGGTGAAGCTTTGTACTGGCTGTACATGGTCCTATAAATCTAGAGTGTTAATGCTGGGTATAATAGAGTGTTTCAGGTACAAAGTGATATGAAATACCTTGTGGGAGACTTAACACATCATTAGTCTGTATGGATACACAGTCTGTCCTAAATTACTAATGTACTCATTGTGATCGTAGGAATTATAGTAAATTGTTTATGACTCCATTAAATGAAATTAAGCTTTTATCACTTTGATTGCCGACGCAGGTAACTTATAATGCTACTAAGGAACTCACCACTTAGTGAAGATTCACATGTGATTGATCCTATCTACCTTGTGTGGGTTTGTGCACGGCAAGTGACAACTGGAAGAGCCTTCGTTTATTGATACCAGGGGCGTTGGTGTTTTAAATGTTTCACCCATTGGGGGGAAGGGGCTTAATTGTGTATGTAGTTGGACAGCGAGGGTTTAAACTGATCAATGCACGAGGAAAAAGCTCTGAGTGAATCAAGGTTACACCTGGTGTGTCTGAAGAATTTACCTGTACTTATCAAAGGCAGGGCATCATGGGGAGAAGTTTTAACTTCCAGACTGAATGGTGGCTCAAACATTCTGTTAACGCTACAGAGTGTATGTACGTGTTCCCAAGGGGTAGACTTTGACTAAATGTATTGTCTGTTGTGATCAATCAAACATTTCATCTGCTAACTACTTTTAACCTGAAGATCAATATTTTTGTGTATTCTCAATGTGTGAAATTAATTGCTGCTTTATATTCTGGTGGTTTCTAGTTTTGAAGGTGATTGGGCTGTGTCGTCCCAATATTATAATTTTTTATACAGGTATATTCTAACCAGTAGACGAGACAAAAAATTAATCAATCAGACTGACAGATTGATCATCCTAAAAATAAATATGGATACCTTAGTTTGTTTGTTAAGGACTTGAAATGGAATGTATCCTAATAGATCTGTGATTACTTTCTATCTAATTCTTAAACACCATAACCAAACACGGACAAGAACATTCAGATTATGGCTGTATACATATCAGACTATAATCGAGGTTTAAGTACTGGTCATTTCTAGATACTCTCTAGAGTCAATACAATTTCCACTGGACAAATTTGCCTACAGAAGATAGTTGTATAGGTATCAGGGTATTTGACAAGGAAAAGTGTGTAAATATTTACAGAACTGATAAATGTTGTATGGAGGTGTCACCTCTGTGTGGCCCTAGGACAAATTCCGTAAAGTAGCCATCTCGCAGAGGATGAGAAAAAGCTAATCTATCTGCAGATACAGTGTCAGGTTAATCATTATATGTATACACTAATTGGAAATCTATACCTTATAGTAATGACATGCTATTGATTGCTGCCCTGTGTTAAACTATACGGGTAACTATAGACTCACCTGGCTATGGATTTAAAGGGAAACACAGACTAGCCCAAACTTTGAGTCTATCTCTGTGTTGTGTGAATAAAACTTCAGTTATAAACTAAGAATGACATTGACAACAGACATAAATTCAACATTTGGACGAGGAAATGTGTTAAAAAATAATGAAATAATGAGAACTTACCTTTGACTTGATCCTAAGGTAGAAATAATGAACTAGCTATATATACACTTACTATACTTTAGTAGGCCCTATCAACACACTGCTTGTGGTCATGACAACATGGATTTTACCCATAAGCCCCCTTACCGGAGCAGTGCATGGGTCTGGTGAATGTTTAAATGCCTCTGCTGAATGAGTATATCCCATAGGTGTATATGAGTGTTCAAAACTAAGGTGTTCAAATCTACGACAACTTGCCTTCTATTGTAGAGAGAGGCGCTTCAATAGGTTTATAAGACCGTTCTGCCTTACAAACACAGGTGGAAATTTATTGTGTCATTATTTCCGAATGTTTGACACCTTGTATGGGAAAATTGTTATCATAGGACTATCCATATGGAAGTTGAACCATTGTAAAATGCTACTTTCTATAATTTGCAACAAATTTATTAACTCTACATTTTATAGGTTTTGATAGCGGATTTGTGTTTCTGTAATTAATTATTTATCCATAAATTAATGTAAAATTTGTATAAACT